CGTGGTGTTTTCTCCAAGCTAACCCATCCTGGTGTCCTCCTCCTTCCTCTCTTCCTGTCCATCTGTCTCTCTCCCGTGATTTCTTGTGGGGTTTTCCAAAGCCTGGGAATCTTATCCGTGCTTACCTCATTCTGCACTGCCCAAGGATAAGCTGTTTAATTAGCCAGTTGGGTATAATGACTTAAGCAGGTCTACACAGAGGGACAGTAATTAGCATGAGGCCAATCCCCAACACTGCTCTCTGAGGACTGGGGGTTTATTTCTGAGGACTGGGGGTTTATCTCTGAAGACTAGGGGTCTATCTCTGAGGACTAGGGGTCTATCCCTGAGGACTGGGGATGTATCTTTGACTGTTTTGTACCCTCCCAGTGCTCAATAAATACCTGAATTTGTTTCAGTGATGGGTGAAACAAATTTTGCCCCCAGGTGTCTGAAAATAGACCTGTTGGCTGAGTTCCAAAGATGCATTAATGGCATGCATGCTATTAATATAATTGAATGTAAGAATGGCAGCTTATGCTCCCAGCATCCCTAATCAAAACAATCTAAGAATCTGAAACCAAACACTCCAGAACTGGAAGCCTGTTGAGTATTAACATGATGGCATAATAAAAAAGTTCACTCGAAGCCAAAGCAAAGCAAAACCAACCAACCAACCAACCAAACCTCCCAAACCCACCTAGTTCATATAAAAAATAATTTAGAACATTGAATAAAATTTTCTTTTGGCCACATGTCAAAAGCAGTACATGTAACAAAAATGAATTTCATGTTTAGACATCATGGTTTTCCACCTCTGAGAGAAGCCATGTATTTGTAAATATCCCAGATCTGAAATCTAAAGAGCTTCTGGAATCATGCATGTGAGCTAGGGGATATTCACGCTGTATGTCTTTATACATATAGTGCATATATACACATGCAAACACACATGTCTCCTCCTAACATAGTTGCTTAATTAGATACCAAATCATATGGATTAGTGAGGCACATGTTACCATGATCCCCATTTTAAAGAGGAAGGAGATCTCATGAGCTTAAATGGGCTGCCCCAAGTTCTTCAGTTAAGGGAGAAAGGAATCCCAACAGGCGGGATGAGAATCTGTGGTTCATTTTGCTTCTGTCCACAAACAGCTTCAAGCTGCAAAAGGACTCGTTTGTCACCGCAGCAGCACAGTGTCAGAGGGGTTATTGGGTTATGTCACAGGAAAACAATGGTGATAGAATCAAGTTTGTTAAATCAAGAAGCTAGTAAACCGGGGAGTTGCTTGCTTTAGGTGTTGGTGAGGACGTGTGTAGGCTGGTCCTGAGGGTATGTTCAGGTGTGTGCAGCTCTCAGCCCTCAGGATAGAGGTGTGGACCAGGGAAAGACCAGGGGGGTTTCTTGTTCTCATTTGTTGGTTCACGTCCTGAGCTTGTGGCTCTGGCTGCCCTTAAGCCTAGAGACCTGTATCTACCACCCGATCTTCTTCCTACTGCTCACGTTCTGTGTGTCTTGTAAGATTCACTCTGGGAATGCTTGCTCTCCTAATCCCTCTGCGGGGCTTGTTTTTACATTATCTTTTGGACTTGATCTTTACTGTATCTTGTTACAGCATTTTCTTTTTATAACGGCTTCAGCTTTCTTCACTGTTAACTTTGTTGGGCCCAACCTCAGTCCAAACATACTAAATGGGGAGAGAGGGAGAGGCAGGCAAGACAGGCTATAGCTTGCAAGGACATATCTCCAAGGACATTACCCTCTCCAGCCCTCTCCCACCCCCCTAAGTTTCCATCACTCCCATTAGTCTTTCAGATTATGACCTCATAGATGGATTAACCAATTGGTCAGACTTTTCATGATCTAGTTACTCTCTCAAAGCCCTCTTCTATACAGATTTGGGGACCAAACCTTCAATACATGTGTTTTTTGGAGGGACACATCCAAACCAGATGCAAACCAGAATACTTCCTGTGCATTATATATAAATTAAGGTTTGTTATGGCTACATATACTTAGAACAAATTATCCTGGGTTTAGTCCTACCTGTGGCTTTTACATCTGCTGGGATCTTGCAATATTCTCCCCGAGAATGGAGAGATGATTGCACCTGTGCAATCTTAGGCCTATGGACCACTATTGTTCTTTGGTTTCCCAGCATTGCCCAGGGCTAAAGCTGCTTGTTGAAGCACTGATGGCCATTGCAAGTAATGATGGTCTAGGAAGAAACCATGATAATCTCTTTATTAATGGGGATTTCCTAAGGGAGGAGAAGTTTGGAATCCCTGCACATGAAGCTTTGTACCAACCACAAACACCAAATGGCAATAGAAACATCTAGGTTGTTTCTTCTGAGCATATAAAACATCTATTCTGCTTAAAACTATGTTTTACCTGATTTTTATTTCCATTTAGTTTTTTTTTTTTCCAAGTGGGAGTATGACTTTGTTGTTGCTATGTTTCTGTTCTTTTGAGACAAAGTCTCACTATGTAACCCTGGCTGGCCTGCAACTCACTAAGTAGACCAGGCTGTTCTCAAACTTGCAAGCAATCCTACTGTCTCCATCTTCCAAGTGCTAGGGTTACTGTCATGTATTACCATATTTTGTGGAAAATATTATTTACTGGCATTTAAAAGCATGAATATGTTGTTTATCATTTGTGTGTTTATGTGTGCGGCGGGGGGTGTTTGGTATGTGTACTACAGTGCACTCATGGAAGTCAGAGGGCGACTTTGTGGAGTTGGTTCTTTCCTTCCACCTTGATGAGGGGCTGAGGATCAAAGCTGGGTCTCCACACCTGCACAGCCAGTGTCCTTACTTGCTAAGCCATTTTCGCTGGCCCCCTATTTTGGTTTTGTTGAGACAGGGTAGTCGTGGCCGGCCTGGAACTTGCAGGGATCCTCTTACCTCTACCTCCCGAAGGCCGGTGTCACAGGCATGTGCTGCCATGCCCGGCAGAAGATAAAAGAGTCTTTTAACCATTAAAAATGTGCCTGAGGTAATCTCCCCTCGACGTCTTCCTATGCTGCAAGCTTCCTTGGAGTATTTGTTAATTTTCCTTGGCTTCAACGACTCTTCTGGCTATTCATTACTTTTTAATTTGTCTCCTGACTCTTGCTTTTTCTGTACTTGGGGCGGTCATCTTCAGATAGTGCAAGTCTGTCAGCAGCCCTTTGTGAGCATACTAGAACAGAAGTGCCTTTTATCTCTCCCTCTCTCCCTGCCTTTTCTCTTCTCTTAGCCTCTCCTTGCAGTGAGAGTTTTGGTTTCTTTAAAAACCTAGTTATGTTATGTGGCTATGTTTTTGTTTTAATCCCAGGTGTGGGATAAGAGGCTGCTTCACAGCAGGTGATGATTTGCCTCCTGCACCAGTAGGGGCGTGGTCTTTGCCAGCTGTAGATATTTAATTCTGGGGGTGTCTGGAGAGGGGATAGATTGGAGAGCCCGGAGAGGGCCTGTGGCAGCTGCTGTTCCCTGTTTTGCTGCCCCTGCTGCTGTGGGTTTGCCCTTTGCTGTTACATTTGCTATTGCTGGATTGCTGGTTTTCTGGTTTGCTGTATGACTTGGTATCCTGACTACTGAGACTGGACTTGCACCAAGGAACCCAACAATCCTAATAAGCAGGAAGTAGCCTATAGTGATCTACACCCACTTTTCCCTCTAACCTTTTCTTACCTAGTGTTGGGGGTTGGAAGGGATTAGGGTGGAATAAGGGTTGAAAGGGGGATAGAGGTATAAGAACCTAATAAAATAGATAAGAAAAGTACATGCCAACACCTCCTCTTCTCACTCCTCCTCCCTCTCCTTCCACTCAGCACACCGGCAGTTGAACCCAGAACCTCTATAATGCTAGGTAATGCTCTAACACAGAGCGACATTCCCAGCCATTCTTTGGGAGTTCCTTTTCTGGAAACTGACTGCTCTGGTCAGATAGGTCACAAGCCTTGGCATCAACATCTCTCATTCTCACTCAGCTACCTGACCACTTACAAGTGCTGCCAATTCCCGAGTGTCCAGAGCCCAGTCTGCTGACCATCTTCCCCATCCTGCCTTCATTTGCTTATTAGTTTATGTATCTGATGCTAGTTTAGTATCACCTCTATCTAAGACACTCCCCCAGGCATTTGGAATACAGTAGGAAGTGTCAACAGAGGAAGACCAGCTTCCACGAGCTACATTTCCAGGGGCAAGGAAGAACATCTAATAAACAATAAACTAAAGCAAATCGCTTCGTGTGTTAGATGTTGAACGCTATAGAAAAAGCAACCAGAGGTCAGGAGATCTGAGGGTGTTGAAGTTGCAGCTTTGAGTAGAATGGTCAGGGTAGGTCTCCTGGAATATTAGACGAAAAGGTGAGAAAAGGAGGCAAGGGCCATTCTAGCTGAGTCAGAGGCTCAGCTGCTCCTCTGCTGGGACAGCTTGAGGATATGATGGCAAGGGATGAAGCCTGGACTCTTGCAGAAACTGTGAATGGGCCAGGGACCACCTCACCCTTTTCTACCCTGGGAAAAACCTCCATATTGTGGGCACATTTCCAAAATTCCCTCCAGTACCAGCGGCTGGACCAAAGTCTTCACTCAGGAGTGGTATGGAGAGACAACTGTGACCCAGCCTCCTCCTGACATCCTCACTTCAAATAACCCTTCATCCCTCTCAGTTCACTGTCTCTCAATGTCACGGGCCACACCCTCCCACCCATCCTTCTGGTGTGCTCATCCTTGTGGTATGTTCTCATTTTCTGTCCGTCAAAATTTTTCTTGTCGAAGGCAGTTTGCTCTTGAGCCTCTATACATCCCCTGGGTCTGAATCCCTCTCTTTGCGGCCTCCCACTCTGGAGGCCTCTGTCTACGGAGCACACGTGTGGTTCTGGTTGTACCATAGCTGCTTAATGTCCGTTTGGCTCCTGCACCAGGTTGGAAGCCTGCTGGGGTCCCCTTTTCATCTTTGGCTCCTGCTCGTGCCATGGGAAGCTTCTGGAATGCTTCCACCGAGCAGGCCGTTCCCTTTCTGTCTTGCAGATTGAGGCGCTTGTGAAGGACATGCAGAACCCAGAGACGGGAGTCAGAATGCAGAACCAGAGAGTCTTGGTCACCAGCGTCCCTCACGCCATGACAGGTGATGTGGCTTCTGGCTTGGTTGTTACTTGAAACAAAAGCCATGGTGTGTGTGTGTTGGGGGGGGGTTGGCAAACTTGAGCACACTTACTGTCCTGGTTGCTTTATTGTTATTGATTATTATTATTATTAATTATTATTATTTTGTCAGTTTGACTGAAGCTAGAGTTAGCTAGAAAGAGGGCAACTCAATTAAGAAAATGTCTCCATCAAATTGCCTGTAGGCAGGTCTATAGGACATTTTTTTAATTTAGTGATTGGTATAGGCAGACCCAGCCTGTGGAGGGGGACATGCCTCTCCTGGATCCTGAATTGTATAAGAAACCCAGCTGAGCAAGCCACAAGGAGGTAGCTAGTAAGCAGTGTTCCTCCATGGCTTCCGCCTCATTTCCGGCCTCCAGGTTCCTGCCTTGGCTTCGCTTAATGGACTATGACCTGAGATATATAAATCAAATGAACCTTTTTCTCCCTAAGCTGCTTTTGGTTATGCTGTTCCTCCACAGCAATAAAAACCCAACTCAGTGGAGAGGGCTGTGCCAAACTGCCACAGCCTGCCTTTGTAAGTAAAGTTTTATTTTTGTTACAGTCACAGCTGCTTTGTCGTTCTGGCTACAGAGCTGAAATATACGGCTGTGCTCAGACTGCACTGGGTCCACAAAACTAAAATATTTACTGCTGTTTGGCTGGGAGACCGGGGATTTTGTCTCTCTTCACCCTTCTAATTCAAACTCATATCCTCCTGAGCTTTCCCGTGGGATTGGAGGCCCCCTACCTCCTCCTTGTGTGATGGTTGAAGGATACTCCAGAGTATCACCTGGGGACAGTGGTGTGTGGTGGGTGCTAGGTGTGAACATAAGGAGGCATTTTGCTTGCTCTGTTAGCATGCTTTGAGATCCGGGTTTGTGGTCGAGAAGAGGCCTCAGCAAGGCGCCTGCAGAAGCAGCCACAGACAGCTTCTCAGAACCAGGGATTTGTGAGCCTGCAGTCTTGACCCTGCCCATGACCTTGCTCTATTGCTCTCTCTCTCCCTCTCTTCTGCCTCCCCGCCCCCCGCACATGCACATAGAAGGTCAACCCTGTCTGTTGTCTGTTCCTTAGGTGCCGTCTACTTTGTGTTTTGAGATGGGCCTTGAGCTCTCCTGTCTCCCCAGCATTCCTGGCACCACACTTAGCTTTTAAAACAAAACAGAAAACAAACAAAGCAAAACAACTCAGGCCCTCAAGCTTGCGTGTGAAACACTGCCAACTGAGCAGTCCCCGGCATCCGGAATAAGCATTTTTCACAGTTTTATGTCGTAGAGACGGGCTGCCTCCCACCACCAGTCTGATTGCTCTGAATGTGTTCCCTGTTTAAAATGAAAAATAAAGTCACCAGGGTGGTCATACCTATCCCCACATTCTCACAGGTGCTGACAGACACAGGAGGGACAGTGCAGGCCTTTTCCACACGTCAGCCATCTGCTGCGTGCTGGGCCCCTGAGCAGCACAGGCTCATTCTTGTGGCGCTTCTCTCAGACAGGGTGATCACTGTTCTCGTGCAACAGTGAGAAAACCAAGATGAGGGCAAACGCATCATCAAGGGTTCCTCCAACACAAGTAATGGAAGGCCCACTCTGGCTTGTTGGGGTGAAATAGGAGTTGACTGGAGTGTTTCAGAGTAGTTCAGGGACACATGCAGGAGTAGGGCTCAGAGTAGCTCTGGGCCAAAGAGTGGGGACCTGTGGGTAGGCTTGGGGGTGGAGGGAAGGAATCTGGTTCTCATTGTTTAAGAGGCAGCTGTCCTTAAAGGCATCCTGGTAGCTGTCTGTCGATTCTGCCTTGGATTTGTAAATGATGGGCTAGAGGAACCTTCAGTGGGAGGCTCTTATCTTGCTTGTGCTGACCCCAGCGCTTGGAATGGCCGTGTGCATGAGGATGGCTAAGGAAAGCGTACTGAATGTGTGGATCGGTTCTGAGACAGCGGTGCAAAGAGCCTGGCTGTGAGTAGAACACCTAGGGTTTAATCCCTCAAGTACCTTCCCCAGCCCTGCTCTCATCTTCTCACTATAAAGCGGCAACAGAAAAACCCTGTCTGAGAGGAAGGTCTCAGGGATGAAAGAGACCATGCTGCTCAAGGGCCTAGCATGTAGCAGGTGCCTCCCGGCCTGGGAAAGTTGGCAGTTCCCTCCCCTGAGGCAGAATAAAGTTAGGGGTAGTTATGACGACCCCTGTTTTACAGATGGGGCTATAGATATATAAAGCAGCCCGAGAGGGCTGTAGCTGTGGCTCCCTGGTACAGCTCTTGCCTAACACGGGTGTGGTCCTAGATTCAGCCCCCAGCATTGAAACAATACTGAGGTTAAGAACTAGCCCCCATGGCACCGAGCCCATTCATGAGTGACCTTGAACTTGAGTCCAGGATTGAGACCTAGACTTCATCTAATCCCATGTCAGTGTAGTGTGTGAACGTGCCCTTCCTCCCCTTGAACATGGCTTAGGTGTGGTTTCTAGATAAGGCTGCCCATTTGCTCTGTCTTCGCTTGAGTTCCACCTTCTGCAGAAACAGACCATGAGGGAGGAGCCCCCATCCTGCCAAGGTAGAGCCAATGACAGCAAACACGCATTCAGCTTCTTTGGTGGCAGGAGCCAGGGCTTCCGGGAACAGTCGGCTGTGGAGCCTCCACAGCCAGCCTGCCTTGCTGCCAGCACGGTCCCCACGGTGCAGACGCTGGTGGCACTGTAAATTCATTTGGTCTATTTCAGGAAGCAGTTAACTCGATGAGAAAGCCCTGGGCCCCTCGGTGGAGAGTGATAATCAGTCTGATGTCTGCCTGAGGCGCGCTCTTGCAAGCTGCATGCCTCTAAAGAGAGACATGGAGTTGGAATGTTAGTTGACACACACAGGCCAGGATTTTAAAGGGAGAATTTTGCTTTGGAACAGCCAACTGGGGGTGAGTCAAAGCTGAGAGTCATAGGAGGTGAAGATGTTGGAGGCAATACTGTGGCGGGTGGGTACGACTGATAGGGACAATAGTTATTCATCTCAGCCTAGAAATGCATAAGGAAGGGGTACAGGTTGTTCGTACTTAACCACAGCTAATTAGGTCCAGGGAACACAAGTAGATCACAGTGGATCTCTTTGGAAGGCTATAAAAGAAATGTCCTTTTTCTACCTCCGAAGAGGGAAGTATTATTTGTGACTGGCTAGCCATCAGGATGCAGATTATAGGATCTCAAGTTGGGATGCATTGTGGGCCAGTTCCCATGCAGGCAGGACTAGCTTCTACCTTTGAGAATCAGGCTGAGGATGGCACTTACAAGGTGGTGTCTGAGTTGGGTTTGGCTTTGGGCACCTTGTCTCTCTTTGGAGATGCCACTGCTCTTCCACAAGGAGCAGAAGCCTCAGGCTGAGAAATAAGCTCAGAACTCTCACAGGTTCTACAATGGCTCCAGACCTCTCTCGACTTATTTTTGTCTCCACCCTTAGGTAAACCTAAATACTCAGAGATGCATAGCTGAGTCTCTCTTGACTCATCCCTGCCTGCTTCTCCTGCCTCTTGCTTGGTGCAGTTTTAACTCTGTACAGTTTCCCCAGCCAAAACCTAAGATTTGCAGGGCCTGAGGCAAAAGTACAAAGGGAGCCCACATTCTATTTTCCAAAGTCTTGTATCAACCTACAAAACATTACTAAAATAGGTTCCCTCCTCCACTCTGATGAAAGTACCTTTGCACCAACCTTAAGGTTTGAATTTAGAATTCTCCGGCTCCTGAGTGTCTTCCCTGGAGACTTGACTATGCGGGAGCCATCCCTGCCTTCAGTCCTTCAACTCTCATCTCTGGTTCTGGTTCACTCCCATGTGTCCCATACTCCATTCAGAACCCGAGCTGGCCGTGAACCTATTTTTCCTTTATATTCAGGCTCAGTCTGTTTACTGTTTAGTTGATGAGTGGCAGTGTTTAAACTGTTTTATGGTAAAAAGATAAATACACTGAGTGAGGGTAAAGACTGAACGTGGCTACTCAGGAGATGGAGAATTGAGAGTTCAGGGCACCCTGAACTATATTGAGTGACTTCATCCTCATCCTGGGCAACTGTTGAACAAAAAAAAAAAAAAGAATAAATGAATGAAATAAAAGACAGTGTGTAGTGGAGGAGAGGCAGTGGATCTGGTGAGCTGGGTCATGGTGGATTTGGATCGTGGAGTCTTTTGAGTGAATGGATGGGATCTCAAGTTGGGATGCATTGTGGGCCAGTACCCATGCAGGCAGGACTAGGGACAGGATCACCACCAGGCAACAAGGATGCACTTTGTGGAGGAGGGCACGCTGGTCCTGGGCTAGGCGGAGAGGTTATGGCGTTGATTGGATACGTCTCTGCTTTGCAGGAGGCGACGTTCTACAGTGGATCATCCAGCACCTTTGGACCTCTAACCTGGGTGAGGCCTTCGCCTACACAGTTGCTGTGCATGCAGGACTAAAGGGGAAACTCAAAAGGAGGCTTTGCAGGAATCACTAAGAACTGTCACATCTCAGCTGGAGAGATGGGACCTTCATGAGTGAAAACAGCTAGAGTCAGAAGCAAAGGCACGGGCCAGGGAAGTAGCTCGGTGGGTAAAGTGCTTGCTGTGTAAATGTGAGGGCATGAATCCAAACCCCTAGCACTCGTGCAAAAGGCTGCACTAGTCTGTAAACCCAGGACTGCAAGTTGGAGGTGAGACAGGAGAGATCTTGTGGCTTCACTGGCCAGCCACTCTAGCTGAACCAGCAAGCTCCATATTCAGCGAGAGACACTGTCTCAAAAACAACGTGGAGAGTGGTAGAGAAAGAGACCTGACATTGACCCCTGGCTTATACATGTCTACATGCTCATGCACACAAACTCAAACACTAGATGCACGTGCCTGCACAGGCCCAGTAAAGAAAATCAAACAAATCTTTAAGAAAAAGAATCTCTGTCTCAGTCCTCAGGTCTTATGCTGTAAGGATGGGGTGCTTTCTTGGAGTTTGGGGGTCAGAGGTTGAGCCATGAAGTTCTGGCTTTGGCCTCACTTTAACTTTTATCTGGAAACTCCTTCTCCCCAGAGGCACAGAACTTGGGCAACTTTATTGTCAAGTATGGCTACATCTATCCTTTGCAAGACCCCAAGAATCTCATCCTCAAGCCTGACAGCAGTCTCTACCGATTTCAGGTGAGCATTGACCTTGACCTTAGGTAACAAGGGGTAGAGCTTACCTGGAAAGTTAGCCAGTTGGCCTTATATCCTCAATGATCAGGAATTTAGAAACGGTACAAAGGGCAAAAGTAGTGTTATCATCCCAGGCTGGAGAATCCACGAGGTCCCAGCCCTGTAGGTAACCATGGTTTTCCTGCTTTTTTTTTTGTAGACACCATATTTCTGGCCCACTCAGCAGTGGCCAGCTGAAGACACAGATTACGGTAAATAATTCACTTTCTCTTGTGCCCCTTCTCTTGCCTAACACACTGCTTATTTGCATGTTGCATTTGGGTGACATTTGTCTAGCTGTCATTATGACCTTTATGTCAGCTTACATCTGTATTGGAAGTATCCCTGGAGGCAGGGTTTGGGGGAGGGCGAAGGAACTTAGTTGGCTGAACAGCATTTCTGACTACCCAAGGGTTTTGGAATATGACAATGATGGAAGATGGTGTTGTTTTCTTTTCCAGCCATCTATCTAGCTAAGCGAAATATCAAGAAGAAAGGTATTTTAGAAGAATATGAAAAGGTACAGAGATATATCCAAGTAGAGTTTTATAATGGAGTAGAATGCAGTCATGAAATATTTATTCTCTTTTCTACATTGGTATATCCATCTATTCATCATTCATTTATTTACCCATCTGTCCTCCATCTATCCTCCATCCTTCCATCATCCACCATTATCTATCCATCCCTTCATTCATCCATCCATCATCTTCCATTTTCCATCCATTCACCTATCTCCGCACCTACGTCCACCTACTCACCAATCTATCCATCATCTGTCCATCCATATCCATCTATAACCTGTCAATCCATCCATGCATGCATCCATCCATCTAGCCATCCACCTATTTACCCATGTATATCCACCTATCCATTAGCCAATACATCCATCATTTGTCCGTCCACATCTATCCATCATCTGTCCATGCATGCATGTATCCATCCATCTATCCACCCATCCACTGATTTGTTTACAGCTTACTGAAACATATTCTTTTCTATGAAAGCTTCAGTTTTCTTCTGCTGTAACTTAAGCCCCTGCCTTAGTGGTTACTTGGGATACTGTAGCTGTTCTGTTCCTTTTGTTGCACCCAACTGAGATAACTTAGTATACATGGTCACACACAGCCCTGGGTTAACATGTGTGAACTTAAATTTATAGTGTGAAAACAAAGAAAGACTTAGTTTTGGCTGAATGAATCAGATTTCCCAAAGAACATGTCAGAAACTTCAGAAGGTAGTTTGGTTTCATTCTGTTGCTGTGATAAATATCATGACAAAAACAAACAAACAAACAAACAAACAAACAAAAAACCACTCTGGGAAGAAAGGATTTATTTCAGCTTATACTTCCAGGTCACAGTCCTTTACTGAGGGAAGTCGAGGCAGGACCTGGAGTAGAAACTGTTTCCCAGCTTGTTCAGCTAACTTTCTTATATAGTTCAGGACCATCTACCTGGGAATAGTGGCACCCAGAGTGGGCCCTATATCAATTCACAGTCCCACCAGACAATGTCCACAGATATGCACCACACCAATTTAAGCAAGGCAGTTCTTCAATTGAGATTTTCTCTTCCCAAGTGACTCTAGGTTGTATAAAGTTGACAACAAAAACCAATGCAGTACACGAGGCTGGTTGACATATCTGGCAGAGGACAATAATCTTTATGGGTTTTAATTCTTTAAAACTTGTCCACAGCTACCCATATCCATTTTTTTATTTCTTTATTAGCATATGTTAATAGTACAAATTATTAGATTTCATCATGGTAGTTTCATACACTCTTTGATGGCCTTCTTCCTTACTTCCTTCTCTCTCCCCTTCTTCCCTCCCCCTAATTCCCTCCCTGCTTCATCCTAGTAGGCAAATGTTTTAAGCTATACCCTTAGTTCTTTTAAAACTTTTTTTTTTTTTTTTTACTTTAACACTATCTTACTAAGGCTAGACTTGAACTTATGATCTTCCTGTTTCAGCCTCTTGAGAAGCTGGGATCACAGGCCTGTCTTACTTTCTAGATTTTTGAGCCCCATTGTTGAATATATTTTTACCCTCATCCTCCACCTCCTTTCTTCCCAATCAAATTTGGGATACATTTATTTTTAACAAAGCAGATGAAACCAAGGAAAGCAAGACCTGTTGCAAAGGCATTTGAGAATTCTGTCTTGCCTCTTTCATGATGCTATGGTGAAACTGTACGAGATGCTGGGCTGTGGGGACCCAGGAGTGTCCTTTGCCAACTTGATGTTTGTAGCCTATCTTGTGAGGCTTAATGTCCTCATTTTGTTTTTTATTTTCTAGGAAAATTATGATTTCTTGAACAAAAAAATTAATTATAAGTGGGATTTTGTCATCATGCAAGCCAAGGAACAGTACCGGTGAGTGAAAGAGGTCACAAGTGTTCTTCCTATCTCCTCCTTTCTCCTTCCTGTCTCCTCCTCTCTCCTTCCTGTTTCTCCTGTCTCCTTCCTGTCTCCTCCTCTCTCTTTCCTGTTTCCTTTTGCTTTACTCAACTTAAAAGATTTTTTTTTTTTTTTTTTTTTTGGTGTGTGTTTGCGTCTCTCTCCATGTGTACTCAGGCTACAAGATTACCTTGTTGATACCTCAAGAGCCAGCCCCCTTATTATTTGAAACTGAATCTCTCACTGGCTTGGAACTTTGTAGTTCTGAGTAACCCATGCTGACTGGCCAGAGAACTTCAGAGATCTGCTTGTCTCTGCCTCTTTAGTGCTGGAATTACAAATACATGAAACCAGTCTAGCTTTTAAAAAACAGTTATTTATTTTTATGTGGGTTTTGAAGGATCAGACTCAGATCCTCATGCTTGGCAGGCAAGCACTTTATCAACTGATACATCTTCCCATTCCCCTGTTTCCTCTGATTAGAACCAGCCCATAATGAGCATCTATGTGATTAAAAAGAAAAAAAAAACTGTGCAGGCATCTCCTGTGGCGGGGGAACAGAGTATGAAGTGCAGAATGGGCCACACCTTAGGTCATCTGCAGCTTTGACATGCCATCATTTGCTTCAGGACCCAGAACGACAAGTCTAGGAATTGAAGCGAGAACACAGTACACAGGAGAGAAGGGTTAATTTTGGCTCTCGGTCTTAAGGAGCTACAGTCCATCATGGCAGGGAAGTCAAGGCAGCAGGAGCAGAGAGGCAGCTGGTCTCGCTGTACCCACACACAGGAAGCAGGGAGAGATGGATGCTGGTGCCCTCAGCTTGCTCTTTCCTTTTCATTCAGCCCATGTGATGGGGCAGCCCAAACTCAAGATGGTGTTCCTACCTCAGCTAAACTTTTCTAGGAACGCCCTCATGGCCATGGCCAGAGATTTGCCTCCTAAGTGATTCTAATCCAGTCAGGTTGACAATAAAGGCTAACTGTCATACTCCCATGGGGCACTAGTAAGAAATCTGTCACTGCTCTTTTAGCCACTGAGATGTTCCTGTCTGACATCTGAGACAGAGCGACATGAAGGGAACTTTCTAACACACCATTGGTATTTGTTTACAAGGCTTCATTGGTGTTCATGGGTGCCATCGTGTTTTAAATTGGTGTAGCAGAAATGCTTAGACCCATCTCTTTAAGTTGGGAAACTGAGGCTTGGAGAGGCTTGAAGTTGCTCCGACAAGGCCCCTCAGTTGGGCTAGAACGATTCAGTTCTACTCAGTGCACTGTTTTTGTTTGTTTGTTTTTGCTTTTGTTTTAAATTCTAGTGGGTTCCAGTGCTAAGCTGGGCCCAGGAACACAGAGGTGGAATTGTGTCTATCCCCGCAGTCCCCCCACGCCCTCCTCTACTTCTGTGCTCTTGAGTGGGACAATCCCAGCAACCCCAGCCCCTTACATAACTCTTTCAGATGCTGCAGCTCAGTGGCTCCTACTTTCCTCCTCCACCAGACCCAGATAAATCTCCCGGTACCCAGACTTCTGGGAAATTCCTCTCCTCTCTTCTGTTCCAGGTGCTGTGGGAGGGGGAAATCCTAACAGGCTCTTTTCTTCTGAGACACCCGTTTTCCCTTATCCCCGTACCTTAACTCAAAGGATACCTCTGATGTCAGACTTAGGATCCCACCACAAAACACATGGGCCATGTGAGTTGGCCCATGGAGTAGTGTTTTTTTTTTTAATTTTATTTTTTATTTTTATGCTTAGCCCTTCCCTCTGCCTTTCCTTCTCCCTTTTCCCTCCTGTTGTTTCAGATCTTCATTTTTTGGCCCAGCCTCAGAAATTACACATGCTATGCCTGACACCCTATTAGTGAAAGTCAGCACAATGTCCCACTTGGTTCTAAGGGGAGGGAAATTAGATGCCTCCATCCATGGAAAGGGCATGGAGACATTTCATAATCACCTTCAAGATTATCCTTGTTTTTGCTTTATAGTTTCCATGATGTTTTCTCTCAGAATAAACACCATAGGCAAGTCTGCACTTACTTCCTGAGTGTTCATGGAATGCTTACACTAAACACTACTCAAAGGCTGGGGCTGTGTTTTGACTCCCGCTAATTGGAACATAGTGGGGGATCAATAAATCCATGAATGAATAGAAGGTTAAACAAATGCAATTGTGAAAAAAAGTCATACAATTAACTAAATGAATTCCTTATTTACTGGCTATTTTGGATTGCATCTGTCACGGCTCTCCTGCTCTCGTATAAATCACAGAGTTACTGATGAGCAAAGCCAGAAAGGCCCACTGGGGTCATTAAAGACTGGCTCTATTTACAAGACTGACTAGCCTTATGGAAACCATGCAAACCTCAGGGTGCTTGTGGTTCACCCTCCCAAGGACTCGGGCTGGTTAACCTGGTGGAAAATGCATTTGGTTGTTATAGCGAATGGGGGCAACAGGGTTTATATTTAATTTTCAGAGGAGGTTGGTAAAACACTCTTCTGGAATGGCGTGGCTCACCCATCTGGCTCTCTGGATGCTATTATGTTATTCACAGGACATTAATGGGGAAATAAATCCACCGGCTCTGTTATGAGGAGGGTGTGTGCGTCATCTCATGTTCCCCGTTGCCTGGGAAAACAGACGTTAATGAATGTGAGCACAGCTAGCCCTGGAAATGAGACTGAGTGGTGCCCTTGGTGTGATAATGAATGTTTCTTCCCTTCTGGAAGGGGGGGTTGCCTGGCATCACTTCCTCCTGCGGTGGCAAAGGGAAGATGGTCAGACAGAACAGGATACCCTTTCGCAGTCCCCAGCAGGCCTGAGGAGAAGCTCTGGTTTGTCACCAACTCACTCGCGTGAAAGAGAAGGACAAACAGGCAAAGAGAAAAGTAGGCCTTCTAGAGACCATCACTGCTGCAACACAGTTCTGGTGGGGACTGACACCTGTTGGTGTCGGTCACATTATTTGCCAAAGCAGAGAAACCAGTCTGAAGCCAGGGAGGTCAAGTATTGGCCCCCATGGTCAGCTCTGCTCACTCCACAGTGACGTCGGTGACACTGATCTGGTTCTGGAGCTGGTCACGGTGACACCGTCTAAATCATTGCAGCCCAGTACCATGAAGGAGAGGTGGAACAAGTCCTCGACTCCCTGAGAGAGTCTAGCCTTCAACTCCTCCTCTTTGCTCCAGTTTTCAGTACTTAGCAGTGACAAACAAGCTGGAAGGACTCCACCAAGACAAGGGACCTCACCAAGTTGTGAGGTTGGGAAGTTCTCTGGGAGAACTACCGAGGGTCAAGTGATGACTCATTTGGTCAAAGCCTGATGTTAGCAGAGCTTTGTTGTTTCATTATCATCCTGGAACTTGTGAATTGTTTCAGCTGATGAGGAAAGTGGTCCAGGTCATCACCAAGAATGGAGGCTATCTTAGACCAAAAGATGTGAAGCGCTGCTAGCCCTGAACAGAGCTTTTTTTTTTTTTATTTTTTTAGGACTGGAAAGGAAAGGAACAAAGCAGATAGGTATGCGCTGGATTGCCAGGAGAAGGCTTATTGGCTGGTGCACCGAAGCCCCGTGAGTATGGCTTCCCCTGCCTCTTTTGAACCTCCTCACTCTCTTGTACTTGCTTTAGCACAGCTGCCTCTGGCTTCCCACCCTCTAGGGTTAGATTTGATTAGCCAGAGGGTCTGTGCGGTGTGGCTCCCTGGACGAAGAGGCCTGTGCTGTGTCTTGGTGAGGTCCTTATAGCCTATCTGTCAGTGTTAAGTACCGAGCAGCCAGAATGGACTCATTTTTCCCGAGGGTTTGAGCTTTTCATTCTTGTGGTGGTTTCTTCCTTGGGAAAAGGAAGGAAGAAGAACACTGGCCTCTAATGAGAAAAGTAAAACAAGTGAGGGCAGACAGTCTGCAGAGCCAGAGATGGCCTCCAGCTTTGCCTTTCCCTCCCTGGGCCAGGTTAGCAGCCGGAATGGGAGGAAGACAGAAGGACTAAGCATGCTTTCAAGCTTCTCATTGCTTGGAGCACCTTGCTTCTTTAGCTTTGGGACTCCCTTTTATTTTATGAATGTTCTGCCTCATGCATGTGTATGTACCAGGTACACGCCTGGTGCCCACTGAGGTCAGAAAAAGATTTCAGATCCTCTGGTATTGGAGTTACAGATATTTCTAACTCACCAGTGGTGCTGGGGACCGAACCTGGATCCTCTACAAGATCATTCAGTGCTGTTAACCACTGAGCCATCTCTCCAGCCCAGCTTCGGGACTTCTAAAATCTCTAATTTGGCTCTAGGAGATGGGCTGTCCAAAATGAATAAAACCTGCCCCAGCTCAGTTAGGAAATGGCAGTATCATTTCCCAGCATCTCACTAGAGTGTGAGAGGTGCCAGAGATTCCAGAAAGGGAAGCACTCAAAACACATGTTCTTTCTCCTCCTCTTTTATTGGCCTTGCACCCTGTAATTACTAGGAATGCTCAGAACAGGAAGTGACCTGAGTCAGGAATGGTGCTAAAGCCTGACCTCCCTCCCATCTGAATCTGGCTGGCCTGCCCATCTTCTCTGTGTATTTCCAACAGATTTTTCTTAAGGTGTCGCCTCTGTGGTATATGGTTTGGATGCTGTGTTGCTGAACGTTCTGGGCTTCCTTCCCAAGTAGTTTATTTGTTTTATCTTTGCTTCAGGGGTCCTCTTCAGGAAAAAACGATTTTGAGGTGCCTGACACAGGTTCCTTGGGGTTGGTTGTGGATGATGGAGCCCAGAGTTCTGGAGCTCCAGTGGCCCTGCTTTAGGGGGAGCACTAGGGGGAGCTTGTTTTGTGAACTTCACGTTGCTTGGGTGTTCTAGACCCGGCTTGTTGATGAGGGAATTGGTAGGTTCACACTTACTTTCTGAGGTGGCCATGCACCCCATGGCACCGAAACTGCCACCGTGGCTACAGTCCTGGCAAAGTCCAGTGAGGGTTCTCAACGGGCTGCATCAGACTCTCCAGTCCCCTGCCTTGGTTCTCTTATCCAGAAGGTCCAGAGGAAAGAAATGAGTAACAACAGACCACCCAGATTCCCCTTAGTCTTTCTGGCATCCATTGGAGGACATGATTGAGTGGCTCTTCACAGCTGGGTAAATGATGTACAGAGCATGTGGAATCTGCAGGGCCGCTTCCCTTGTCTCCTCCCATCTCTGTCAACACGATGACATCTCACCTCCATCACCTCCTCCACATTTTGCTATTACCACTACCATCCCCACCATCCCCACCATCCCTCCACCACCATTACCACCACTGCCACCAGCACCGCCATCACCATCCCCACCATTACCGTCATTGCCGCCAGTGCTGCCACCACCATCACCATCACCATCACTATCATTACCGCCACCCTGGCCGTCACCACTGTTGTTATCGACACACCAGATCCGAGTTGCAAACTCACATCTTACTAAGCGGTCTGTTTTCTTTACTTTATTTGCTCTTTGCAGTCCCGTGTGGAGCAGTGTTACTCCCTTTTCCTGATAAACAAACAGAGGCTTAGGGATGTTGTTCGTTGCCCAGATGCACGTCTCACATGTGCCAGAGGATCTGAACCCACACAGTTAACTATGCAGCCCTCTCTCTTAGTCCCCATGTCCCCTTGGCCTCCTGTGATATTGTATGGCACTTGGTGTCCTCATGTGTTTTAGTTTGTTTGTAACCTTCCGAGTCACTGGGGCTCCATAAACGTAAACATTTATGTTCACACAAGCCTGGCTACTTTGGTAGCGCTGGGGGCAGGGCGCCCTAGTTTAGAGTGAAGCTTTGATATGCTTGATGCGGTCTTGAAATGCCACGTACACAAAACTGCTCCACCTGTCCGCCCTCCCTCACTGTTGGCCTGCTCAGCTGAAACCCAGGTAGCCATTAGGAATGAAGGAGGATTGTATCTGGGAGGCGGGCACACTTCTGCCCCACCTCTCCGGGAATACCCTTCACCTCTCTCTGGCCAGCACAGGGAAGATGGTGTGCTATCCGGGGTACATCTCTGCCTGGAATAGAGCAATCTGTCTGATTGCTTAGGGAGCCGTGGAGCCCACAGACTGCCAGACTGTCTCCAGGAGACCCAAACAAACCCCAGCACAGTGGGAAAAGAGCCAGCCGTAGCAAGCCAAGCATTTGGCTGTGTGGATGCGGAGCAGGAGCTCTGTAGACCCACTGAGGCCACCTGTTAGATGAGAGTGTGCCGTGGCTGCAGTTACCAGATGATCTATTCACTTGCTCATTTGTCTGGTTTTTTTTTCTTCCAGTTCCTCGTGTGCTCATACGTGTGTGTGCGTGTGTGTGTGTGTGTGTGTGTGTGTGTGTGTGTGTTGTATATATGCATTTTTTGCTGTTTTGGGGGGCACATGTGTGTATGCATGTAGAGGCCTGAGGTTGATGTCTAGAAACATCCTCTGTTGCTTCTCCATCTCAAAGTCGAATCCAGAGCTCACTGATGTGTCTCAGTTCTCCAGCTTTCTCAGGTGATCGCCTCCCTGACTTCCAAGGCTAGAATTACAGGCTGCTGACGACACCCACCAGTCATTTACGAAGTTCTAGAGAACTGAACTCTAGACCTCGGGTGTGCAGCAAGAGCTTTAATCACTGAGGCATCTCCCCAGCCCCTCCTTTATCTCTTTCTCCATCCATGAAATCCTTACTGGGCCTTGACTTCCGGGAAGGGCGTGTTGGCACATAATGGCAGCCATTGAGTCTGTACTGTATGTATCTGTGAAAAAGGGACATCTCTCTGAGGCTGTGGCCAGAAAATCATCACCAGAGGAGGGTGGGATCAGACATGGGTATAGTAGTTGGTCAGTCAGTGAGTTTGACCCAAATGGATCAAAATATAAACAGTATAAATGAAAAAGGAGAATTTTAAAATAATTTTTATGTTAATTATAGGTTATTTACTTTATATTCCAGCTGTAGCCCCCTCCCTCATTCCCTCTCAATTCCACCCTCCCTTCCTCATCTCCTCCCTGCCCCATCTCTAAGTCCACTGATAGGGGAGATCCTCCTCCCCTTCCATCTGACCTTAGCTTATCAGGTCTCATCAGGACTGGTGGCAATGTCCTCCTCTGTGGCCTAGCAAGGCTGCTCCTCCCTGGGAAGGGGGAGATAAAAGAGCCCACCACTGAGTTCGTGTCAGAGACAGTCCCTGTTCCCCTTACTAGGGAAACCCACTTGGATGCTGAGCTGCCATGGGCTACATCTGAGCAGGGGTTCTAGGTTATAACCATGCATGGTCCCTGGTTGGAGAATCAGTCTCAGAAAAGACCCCTGTGCCCAGATATATTTGGTCCTTGTGGAGCTCCTGTTCTCTCCAGGTCTTACTAACTCTCCTTTCTTTCATATGATTCCCTGAACTCTGCCCAAGTTTTGGTTATGAGTCTTAGCATCTGCTTTGATACACTGCTAGGTAGAGTCTTTCAGAGATCAGGAGGATTTTTTTTTTTTTAATGGAGTTAGGGATGACTCCTGATCCTTCTGCCTTTATTTCCTTACCCAATGTATGTGTTGCTTGGGATGGAACCCAGGGCTTCATGTGCCAGGAAAGTACTCTACCAACTGAGCTACATCCCTGGCCTGAGGCATGATTCCTTTTTTTTTTCCTAAGATAGTATTATCTTTATTAAAAATTATAAACATAGCATCACTTATAAAACAAGAACTCATGAAAGGCACGACATGATTTTTTTGAGCAAAACTTTTAGGGGTTTTGTGTAGCTTCACTGAGCCACCTGGGCACCACCCGTGGCTTCTGAGGGTGCAGGCCGTCAGTCAGGCCTGGCTTTCTGGGAGAGGGCGTTTTTCTGGCCTTGCATCCTAAGCCAAGTGGTCATGTGAGCGAACATTAAGTTAAACAGTCTTCATTACAGCCACGTACATAAACACAGCAAAGAAGATAGCTGCTCTCCACTTCCTGCTGAGGTTGTTCGAAATGCCCCACAGTGGAGAATAATTTAAGGGATATAGAACGTGGTGGGACATTGTGAAGCTATTAAAACGATATGGTCAATCCTTCAATAGAAAATAGTCTGAAGTTTAGTGTATTGTAAACCAATAGGGAACCCTTGGTATATGCTGGTGGTAATTAAGAAAAAAACAACAGCATAACTTTCAGATGTTTATTTTATGTTAGATGCTCTCAAGGCAATGGGAGTATTTGACTTAGGAGCCAGGATAGACATGGCTCATGATCTCAAGGAACTTACTATAAGATAGCAGAGAAAACAATGACTAAAACTATTATGCAAATGAATAAATAACATACAGAATACCATGCAAGCTCGTAGAAGAAAGAAATCTTGCATCAGACCTGGTGCCAGGATACGCCTCCCCATGGAAGTGACGCTCAAACCCCAAGCTGTGCTTGGAACAGGGTTTAACTCTCCCACCTAAAACTGTCTCCTCATTTCCTCTTTTTTTTTTACTCTGCCTATAAAACAGTGTGGTCCTTTGTTTATCGGCTCTGACCCATGGGACGAAACGGTCTGATGTTTTAGGGGAAGCGGGTGGACTCAGGGACTGGTAGAAGGCTGGTGCCACCCTGGAACAGTGATTTCTGTGGGTGTCACCTTAAGATTACCAGGCATTTAGCAAACTGCCTCTTTTGTTTATGCCTGAGGGATGTGATTGACAGGTCCCACCCTGGTGTTCACAGCCTCTCCAATCGAAGGAGAGAGACTCATAGCCCACACATCCCTGACAGGCTTTCAGTGTGAAGACACCAGGTTGGTAGGCATCTTCTGGCAGTACCTCGATTAGTTGCCTTTATTTAGTGTGCATTGACAGCCAGCTCTGGGTCATCTTCAATTAAGTATTCACTTGTGGACTAGTAGCTCTGGATAAAGACTATACTAACTGCCTGATGGATGGATAAATGAATGAATGAACGAATGAATGAATGAACCTGGGAGTCTCTCTTACTTATAAACATCTGGGAAAGTTTGGACAGGACAGTGGTTTGGACTACAGTTTCCTCAACAGGGACTTAAGGTGCTGCCACCCACAGAGAGGTCAAGGTGAAGGCACAGCCAGGAAAAGGTGTCTGGCCATCTCCTAGAACTGGTGAGGAAATCTGCCGGGGGTGGTGGTGATGGGCTGGAACTGGAGAGCATGGCAGAACAATAAAGCTCAGAGGTGGCAGAGTCTGGGCAGCAGAGGTGGCCTTGGAACTGGCTTAAACTATGTGAATAGTACTATTGCTCCCCAGGCCACCTAATTTCTGTAGTCTGTGGGGCCAGGTCAAAGGGGCAGCTAAACAGCCAACTCAGGCTTGGAGCAGATGACCCCATGGAGCTGCTGAGGCAACTGTGAAAAGGAACTGGGCGGTGGCTGGGGGGTGACTGTCAGGGTGGGCTCTGAGTGTGCAGTGAGCATGTATGGGTACACACAAATGAATGGGAGCCTGTGTGAGTAGGAATGCGTAAGTTGAGGGTGTGTAGGTGTGTTAGACAACACAGTGTGAAAGTTTGCGTGTGTGTGAAATTCATCTTCAGATGTGCTGGTGGGAGTTTCTCTGTAGCAGACGTAGGGGGAAATCCCCGAAGGCCATTTTAGGTGACAGTGTTAGTCTGGTGACCACATCCGTCTATTTTCCTTCGTATGAGGTTAGACCATCTTGAGGGCTGTCTGGGACTTCTGCCTCCTCGTGACGTTTATCATAATTGTCACTCATCTTGTTGTGACTACTAAGAAATTTCCCCCCTCTCCAAGACCAGAAATGACTCCCTCTATCTTCGGGGGGAGTGGGCTCCCAAAGCGGGAGTCTCATGTCACATTCACTAGCCTCAAGATTTAGGGCAGTGTCCAGCGCATTGGTAGTACTGAGCAAGGCCCACGGGTAGGAGGGTGAGGATGGGAGCACTGTTTCCTCATTCTTCTCTCATCCACTTTCTACCTTGCTTTTCGTCGCTTCCTTTTATTGTCTGTAGGCCCAGTATTTGCCTCTGTGGTAGCCTGATGAGCTAGGACGCCATATTTAGCAAGTGGAATACAGGGCATCTAGTTCTTAATTAATTAATTAGTTAATTAATTAATTAGGTTCGAGTCTGTGAGTGCAGACACACATGTACACACGTGTGTGCCACATCAGAGGCCTAGAGATTAGAGGAAACACTGGGAGCTGGTTTCCTCCTGCCTTGCTTCCACCTAGCGTCTCTCATTTCTGTAGCCATGTTGAGTACTCTAGGCTTGCTGGCCTGTGAGCTTCTGGCCAGTTCTCTCGTGCCTGCCACCCATCTCACTGGACGAGGTGCCGTGATTCCAGATGTGCACCACACCCATCCGGCTTTTCACATGTGTTCTAGGGACAGAACTCAGCTTGTCAGGCTTGTGTGACAAAGCACTTCCACCCACTCAGCCGCTTCCTGGCCTCAGCAACAATTACCCTGCATTAAAATGGTTTATGTCAGAATTTATTGGCTATCAAAATCTATTTTATGTTTTTAGTATAAACATACAGTAAGTGTTAAGCCATTGGAGCTAGACATGGTGACAGGCGCCTGTAATCTCAGGCTGAGGCAGGAGAATTGTGAATTCTAGACAGATTTGGGCTACACTGTGGAGTTCAAGGCAAGCCTAGTACAAAAAGACTTCATTTCCTACCCTGTAAGAACAAAAACAAAAAAAACAACAAAACAACAACAACAACAACAGAAGAACCACCAACCAAGAAATTTATATCCCAACTCCTCCAAAATGGTTCGGGACATAAATTATTTGTGTTGCTCTGAACTTAACCAGATGTCCTAGATTTTAATCTAGCAGTCCAACTTCTGAACTCAAACCACTTTCAGTGCTGCCAATGGGACTGGATCTGACGGGGACAGAGCCACAGATGCCGCTGTGAAGTCAGCCTCATTAGCACAGCCTCATTGCCTGTACAGGAGGAAGTGAAAAACCTCAACTGCTGGCCTCAAGGAGATGAGAGAGGCCAAGTGAGATTGGGTGCAGGGTGGGGTTAACTGGAGGAAATGGGAACCGACAGAGATTGCTTTAGCAGGTTTGGTTACACCTTTGTATGCTCAACCATAAAGGAGTCCAGGCCCTTCAGGGATAGCTACTCTCTACTGACAGTGTCACGCTCCATTTTGCTAAATCCTAGAAGTACCTGTCATGTAGGAGGTGTTATCTCTGCTTCTTGGGTGGTTGGCACATCTGGGAAATGGCAAAATTGGGGCTGGAAATGGATAGTGCATGACCCAAAGCACTACTCAAAGCACTTCCTTCTTCTAACCCAGCCCTGGCAGCAACTGCAGGGGTTGGTGACAGAGACCCATAGGGGGAACCAGAGTCCCAGGGATCAATTGCAGTGAAGTCTTATTGAACCTCAGTGCTATTTATCCATCCACAGTCTATCCTATCTATCATCCATCCATCCACTCACTCATCCATCCACCCACCCATCCATCCATCCATCCACCCACCCACCCACCCACCTACTCATCCACCCATCCATCTGTCTACAATGTATACCACCTGCCTTCCCCCTATCTGTCTATCCATCCCATTATCCTTTGGTAAAAAAGAAGCTTTCATCTTCTCTCCCTCCCTCCAGCCCACTGGCCTTGCCTTCTTATCCCCCACTATGCTGAGTGCTGAGGATCTGTAGTAATAGACAGAAGAGCCCACATAAAACTTTCTAACTCATTTGGGGGTTTACACACCCTCACATTTCTTTGTGGGCTAGACCACAAGCCCTTCTCAGCTTCATCTCTCAGTTGGCAGCTTGGGCAGGATCTAAAGTTGATCAGAAACCAGAGATTTCCTGTGGTGACCCTTATATTGTATTCTTCTATTCAGCCTGGAATGAACAATGTGCTAGAGTATGGCCTGGACCGCGTGACCAATCCAAACGAAGTTAAGGTAAACCAGGTATGTCTGCTGTGTTCTGGACAGGGTCTGGGGTAGGTTCTGAGGTTGGGAAGGTATTCACATCTGTATCTGTGTCTGTGAGGAATGTTATATCTTCTTGGAGACTGCTGCTGATATCAGGGTCTGAAACATGGCTCTGTGGTGTTGGAGTCAGAGGAAGAGGAGGCCATGGCAAGGGTCCTGGGTACAGTGGTCACAGCAAACGAATGAAGGCTCTAGGGCAGACCGTATGACATCTGAGGCATTTCACGCTTAAAAAATCTAATGAGATTTCCAACCTAGTGTACCATTGTTACAGCTTGTCCTCAAGGCATGAGTGGGCACCTGGAAGGGTGTGTCTGACTAGGAGGAAGACGGCCGAGCAGAGGGGGAGAGAAAAGAGCAGGATTTGGCTAGTACAGTAGCACTGTGGTGTGCGGAGAGGGACTGAGAGCCTCCAGAGAGCATCACCAGGGGCATCGTTAGGGACTCTTGTCCAAAATGACCCTTCCTGGGATACAGTTAGGGCACATCAGCCAGCTTTCAGCTGCCATTCTCCCAGCAGCCTCTTCCCCGTTTTCTTGTCAGATAGCGGATCAGTGCCAAGGTCTTTTAGGCTTAGTTGCTATGGAGACAGATTCATCGAGTAAAATACAGAACTCGGGTGGGAGTTTTTTTTTTTTTTTTTTTTTTTAATGGATAATGTACTGCTCTGGAAACCTCTCCTGTGGAGGAGGGGAGAAGAGGCAGCAAGCGCATCACTGTCTCTGACATGGGTGGGATGTGGGGACTGACTGAGGCTCAGCTGTGTGTATGTATGTGGGGCATGGGAAGGCGAGAACACGGCCTTCACGTGGTCAGTGTGGGAGAGTAGCCATGGAGCTGTGGTTGGATGACTTCTGAGGAGGGTGGCCAGTAGGCCCTCTCGCCGAGGGCACATCTTTATGCCACCGGGACGGAAAGAGCTTTGCCTTCTGGCTTCCAAGAACCCGGGTGTGGCAGCTGCTGCCCATGCTCCGACTGGATGTGAGGCGGAGCCCAGGCTAAGGGGTGGTGGGTTCTGCACGGGCTGTGCCATCTCTGCCGCACACTCACCTCTCCCTTTCTCTCTCGTCAGCTCTCTTTCTCGTGTGTGTGCTCGAGTGCTGGCCACTGTGGAGCAGTAAGAAGAAACAGCGTGCGAGCCGCCCTCCTCTCTCCAGCAGCACAGAGCCCACCACATCCCCTATGCAGGGAGGGGTTGGGGCTGGGGCTGGGTGTCATGGCAACAGACGACCCTATTGCCCCTTTTCCTGCTCTGGCAGGAGAGGGTTACAGAGAGCTGGGAGACTCCTCCATGAGGTCTTGAGAAGGCAAAGGTTTGATAGTTGTCTCAGTCTGGAGAACCCACAGCAGAGAAGAGGGTCATTACTGAGAACGGGGGGATTCTTGGCCCCTGTTTGCCCTAAGCAGAGGCAAATGCCCACTGAGCATGAGAATAGAGGCTGTTTGGTCGGCAGGTGTCCCCAAAAACCAGCTTCACCAGACAATGGCCGTTGGTCAGTAAGGCTGCCCAGACCTGGGAGGATTTGGTCTCAGCCAGGGGCCAGGCTTAGTGTGTATGTATGTATGTATGAATATGTATGTGTGTGAGTGTATTTTCAGTTCCGATACCTTGAGAGCATACAGAAAGTCAAGTGCATATGTCTTTCCACCTCGCTGTTTCTTGCTAAAGAACATCCAGCCATACAAGCAGAACCCTGGATAAAGGCTGGGCACTGGTCTGCTTGAGAGCCCTGTCTGTACTCTCTCTGACCCTCTGCTTTATTTCCTCCACACCAGGAGGGGTTACACTGCCATCTAGTGCTGCTCATGGCAGGGGCCACACTGTCACCCAACAGTGAGAGACAACACTTAATGCTGAAGAGAGTGCTCTTGGGCCTAGGAAGGAACCCAGTTCTACCATTTTGGTTGGCTACCAAGCCTTTCAGAACTTGAGTTTACTAATCTATAGAATGTGCCTAACATTAGTTTTGTAAGAGATTAATCAGGGTCGTTTCTTTAGAAATGTCCAGGACAATACACAACATGTGAGACCCTCTAAGGGTAGCTCTCATTGTTATCATCATAGCAGGTCATTATACCGTGAAGGGGACGGGTTTATGGGGGGTCTCGTCTTTTACTTAAGTCTATGTTATTGCTCTATTTAGTTTCAGTTAAGGTTTAAAGTAAGCAAACGAAGTGAATGGGTTTCATTAAGACACTTTCATGTATATATATAGTATATACATATATTATATATATCATTATTCTCTGTTCTTATTCATCACCTCCCCTACTACCCTCCCATCCCCCTTTGACCATCTCTTACTCGTCTTCCTCCACCAAATAATACCCTGTTGTGCTTTCATACCTTTATAGACATCTGATCCCATTTAGGGTACTAAATGTAGGTCCCTCTGTCCTTCTACCTTCTCAGGCTTCTATGCTGGGAGAAGGTGGAGGAGGGGCAAGAGGAAAGTCACACCATTTCATCTCCTCTGCCTCTGTTTTGGGAACTGCATAGGTCACATGGGCATGCATGCTAGTCTTTGAAAATAAGGCAGAAATGTGACTCCCGGGTATTAGATGCCATGAGTTGCTAAGATCCCAACCCAGTCTTCACTGAGCAAAACCCGTGTGCTCCCACCAGCAGGGACGGCTTTCTTCCTGTGGTTCTCTGTGTGATGGTGGCTAGCAGAGGATAGTGCGGGCTTCATGTGCACTGATGGCACCCTCTGTCACGCATGGTGCTGAAGCGCATCTCACCTAGTCCCGGCTCGGAGACTCACATGCATGAAGGAGGCACAGAATAACAAGGCCATCCCTGTTAGTGGATGAAGCTGGTCCGCAGGGAGGGGAAACTCATGCAAAGACACACAGCTCGAACATAGTGAAGCTGGGATGGGAACCACAGAAACCTGCCCCAAGTCCTGCCTGATTGGTGCCAATGCCCATCATGTGGTTTGTAGAAGCTTTATTGAGGTCTGGAGATAATAATCAGTTTTATTTCTCATGTTGCAAAACCAAAACAGAGAAATCTAGGTCTTTGCCCAAAGCAGCTCAGTTAGGATTGCGGTTCAGGATTTAGGTCAGCACCTCTCCTCTCGTCACCCAGCCCAAGTACTGCACCCAGGATCGCCTATAGGTAGAGGGCCTGATGCCAGCACTGAAGTTCTCACTCTTAGAATGCCATTGGCTGATTTAATGTTCTATTGCTGTCTTATAGTTCTTTACTCTGAGAGTTGGAGAGATAGCTTGGTTATGTAAGCGTCGCGGTGGGTGCTTGTCATCTCAGCGCTAGGGAGGCAGAGACAGGAGGGTCCCCGAGTCTCACTGGACAGCCAGCCTATAAGGGACCCCGTCTTTAAAAAAATCAAGGTGGATGGCACTTGAATGACGACACCCCAAGTTGACTTTGGGCCTTCACACATATGTTCTCTCTGTCTGTCTGTCTGTCTCTCTCTCAAGTTCTTTACTCTCTTTATCTTGGGCATTTTTATTTCAGGCAGACAAACGTCTGCTCAGTTAATCACGGCCTCAGATCCTGGATCCTCCGACAGCTGCCCGCTCTCTCTTTTTCTGTGCACTTTGCACTAACAACTTCACTTTCTAGATTTATCTGTTTGCAACTTCTGACCGCTCCACCCCCACCCCCTCCCCTGCTCTCGGTGCCTGGCCTGGGTCCTCCCTGTCTCTCCAGCTAGTGTTCCACTTCCCTCCTGTCCTCAGACTCCTACCAGACCGCCTCATCGCCAGCTCTCTGCTGCTCTGTCTTCTGGCTCCCGCTCTTCTGTCCAGCAGGACTCCATTGCTCCTCAGGCGTAGCGCTGACCTCTCTAGCCTCCCCCTGACAATCATCCCCAGCCTCTGAAGGCCATGAGATGTGTAACTAATGTGATTTTATTCGGGAAATCCTCACAAGAAGAAAAAACAGGTTGTTAGAGTATCAGGAATGGAGAACTGTCAGAGTCTTTAGGCAGAATATTCTTAGCGTGGGGAAGGGTATTCCTCTAAGTGGGAGCGTAAAGGCTTCGTGCCAGGAGAGCCCGTGTCCAAGAGAAGAGTAGCTTACACATATGATTTCCAGGGTTTTAAAAAAAAGTTTATTTGTCCTAGTCTGTCTCCAGGTGGTTTTCTCTGAACTGCATAGAGTGTGTGGGTGTTTGTATTTTTAATAACATTAGCATGATGTTTTTTATGACCTTTTGGCTAAGTGGTAATAATATTGATAGTGGGTTTACAAGTACAAGTTAAACAGACAAAACAAAGCCCCACATGCTTCCTGGTTAAATTTGAATTTCGGAAAAACAATGACAATGTCTTTCAGTATAGCTGTGTCCTGACTATTGCCTGGAACAGTATTGTATCTTGGAATGGGAACTGACACCGCACCCCACATGGGTCATATTTCAGCAACAGTATGTTAGCCCTAATTGATGGCATTATATATTGAATCTCTGCAATATGCCCACTGCTCATGTATGTTACCCTGCTTAACGCCCCCCCCCATTTTCCTTTTACAAATGAGAAACCAAAGACTTTCAGATGCCAAAAATCTGTCCAAGATCATCTACCCAGTAATGTACAAAACCAAGATTTCAACTTTCGTCTGGACCGAGAGCCTACGCACTTCCCCGAGTTACCCCCATTTCACATGTCAGATCGCCCCCACCCTTTAGAAAAGTCTGGAACCTTTTCCCTGCACCGCCCCATTCTTGTACACATTTCATCATGCATGTGTCTCGCTCTGCACACAGGATACATGTGTGTCACTCCTGAGGTGTCCACTCCCATGGTGGACAGGTATGCGTGCAGCTAGAATGAAAAGCTGAGGTGCACATGGACAGGCCAAGAGAGGAATGGGGATGCTTGGGTCTAAGTCTGGAAACTTAGAGCACCAACATGATGCCACAGTGGAGAGCTTACACCGGGAGACTTTGTTTGGGTTGGCTGTGGTGGTGCATGTCTTTACTGCTAGTGCTCTGTGAGTTTGAAGCCAGCCTGGTCTAAGTTCCAGGTCACCAGGGATGTACCCCATCTCGAAGCATACAAAGGTTGTTTTATGCACTAAACTACTGAAAGTAGTCTATAAAATTATGCTCAGGTTACATGTAGAAGGTATAAATGAAGTCTATCAGTTGATTTTCTGGTTCGACTTTGGTCCCATCCTCTAGCTGTCTCAATCATGTCTGGGTAGATTTCCAAAGATCTGAGAAAAAAAAAATATCTGAAATCAGAACTGCTTACGGTTTGCATTGTTTGGAGTATGTAGTCCCCACCCCCGCGTTAGGGAGCGCATTGAAGGCTGGGCCCCAGAAATTGACTGGTAATTCTGGGAACCAGAAGAAAGACAAAAAGTCATCCCAGAGGCAGAGTTCTGAAAAGATGGTGAAAGTAAAGGCAAAGCAAGTGAATGAAGTATAAAAAGAACGAAAATTCTGAAGATGGAGACGGTGGCCCCACGGGGAGTTACCAGAGGTAGAAATGAAGCGTGCGCATGTGGCTGTCGCTTCCAACAGCAGCTCCCTGTGGGGCCCAGAGAACGACAGGACAGCCACAGTGCTGCTCCTTTCTTCTTTGTGGTGCCCTGAGGATCCTGAGCCCCAGGGCTGGCAATGGGGCAATGGAAGATGGGATGTCTGATGCTGGGCCCTAGGTCCTCTGAGAGAGGGTGCCTAAGATACAGCACTTGCTGGGGGTTGGCCTTTGCGTGGTTAGTGTACTGTGTTCTCTGTGTTCCTATTGCATCTCGTGGTCGAGGCCTTTGTTCTCTTGGCTTTCATTACAATTAAAATGCTGGACAGCCATTCTGTTCTGCAGCATTCCTAGCTCAAGGCAAAGAAAGGGCTGTGGTAAAGAGAGCAGGGAAAGTGGAGAGAAGCAATAGACACAATGGTTTTTCTGGTTCTCATGGCTCATCCTAGGCCTTGCATATTGCAGAGGTGGATTTGAGTTTCGGTTGAGCCAATGATTGGCCAGAAGCTCCTGTGGCAGGCATTACTACCAGCGGCCATCCAGAGCCGTGGTCTTCTCAGCATGGAATCAGTTGTAAAATCGTTCTCCTTTAAGCTTTTTAGTAGTACAAAGAAGCGTATGTTGCTTTGCGTTTGCTAAGGGGGAAATGCTGTGTAAGAGTCGAGCTCCTCTTTCAGCAGAGACCCTAGATCATGAGCCACTATTCACATAATTGTCCCAACAAGCCCGTAACAGGAGCATCTGATTATACTAGATTTGAATGAAGTTTTACTCTGGTCCCAGGGTCCCTTTCTGTCCAAACTGCACGTCTTCTAAAACAAAGCCCTGTGCTGAGAGAGAAAGGGAGCAAGATCAGCTGTGATTGCACTCCGTCAGTGGTTCTCAGCCTGTAGGTTGCGACCCCTGAGAGGTGTGTGTCAAATGGCCCTTTTCACAGAGATCGCCTACTATGGTTGTGAAGCAACAACAAAAATAATTTTATGGCTGGGGGTCGCTACAACACGAAGAACAGTATTAAAGGGTCGTAGTGTTAGGAAGGTTGAGGGCCGTGGCTCTGGACTGCCTGCTGAGTGCTTTTAGATTTTTTTTAAGAAGAAGCTGTCAGACAGTCTCTCTTTCCAAGATCCTAAGCACACCAGAACCATCATCGATTTGGTATTTGTCAAGGGTCTACCCTGAGTCAGGCGAGATTCTAAAGGAAGCGCCCGTGTTCTGATGGTGGCATATATGTTATAAAATACAGTCACGTAAATGAAACGTGATGCTCTATGAAGGAGAAGGTCAGACGTGGCAGCTCAAAACTGAAAGCCCTACCTCAGCTCTACTTAAGATCACTCCCTTCAACTTTGCACGGCCACAGTAACCATCCATAGGTCTCCTGTGAAAAGCCATCCAAAAAGATCCAAAATGATATCCTGCATTAATGAAAGAGGAGAGCTGTGTTCTGTACATTCCGTATTGGGCCTTGGGAGCTTCCATACCTCTGAGCCAATGGACCAGTGGCTCCCTTTTCAGTGTCTAAGGAGAAGCATACATGTGAAGCTATTCGTAATGAAATTTGGCTTAATTCAGCAGCAGCAATATTAGGCAGGCGGGAGTTATGAGGTCCAGTTTGTAGGATCAGAGTCGGCACCAAACGACCCTCATACATAACCGAATCTCAGGAAACCAAGATTTGGATTCCCACAGTCCCAACCTCAAAGGATTGTGTAGGGCTGAGAGGTGGCACCCAAGAAAGCCTGTTCTGCGGATTGTAGACTGGGAGATTTCAGCTGGAGATTGATCCAAATATCCCAGTAGCTTCTAAGAGCCTAAATGGGAAGCCTGTCTTGGAGCCATTCTTTCTCTGTTTACTCAGGAAGTCCAGAGAGAAGGCACACTGTGGCTGATCCCTAGCATGAGCTTGAACTTGCTTTGATAGCTTCCATGAGGGCGTGGGAGCCAGTGGGATCTCCCCGCATTACAACTCTGACTTGCTGTGGGGTTCATTTTTATATTTTTAATTGCCCACTTTGTTTCTGGAAACATGGCTGTTATTTATTTTTTTCCATTTGTGATGTCAGTCAAATTGTTATGAGTGCCTGAGAGTGAATCTCACGATTCATTCAACATTGTTCAAAATGTTCAAGGTCCTCTTTCTATGTCTTAGTAAGAGGTGGCTTCCAGTTATCAGCAGTTTTTACCTATTTCTTTATTGTGTGTGTAGCTCATACCTTCCATGGGGCCTTAGGGTTCCCATTCCTATGAGACAATACCACAACAAAATGCAACACGGGGAGGAGAGGGTTTGTTTCAGCTTATGACTCCCAGGCAAACAATCCATCACTGTGGGGAGTCAAGGCATGTGGAGGCAGGAACTGAAGCAGAAGCCATGGAGGAGTGTTTGCATTCCATGACCTCCATCACAGGGCTGGCACTGCCCACAGTGGGCACCACCGCCCCGCCAATCATTAGTTAAGTAGCTGTCCCGTAGGCTTATCCATGGGCAGTCTTGTAGATGTATTTTCTCGATTGTGTACCCTCCACTCAGATAACTCTAGCTTGTGTCGAATCGGCAGGTCAGAGGGCGATTTTGTGGAGCTGGTTCTCTCCTTCCACTTTCACGTAGGGTCTAGGAACCAAACTCAGGTTGTCAGGCTTGTGAGGTAAGGACTTCACATCTGCTGAGCCATCTTCTCAACCTAAGTTTCCCTCTTCATCTCCTGACTTTCAAGCTGTTTCTGTAGATGGGAGAGCAAGGCCAGCCCCAAACTTGGTCTTTAGTTCACCTTGGTTTTTAGGACTAAAGTTACCGTGGTAAGTAGTTCTTCCCTGGCTACGGTTCCACAGAGCTGGATGGAGATGGTAGAGGTGGGGAGATGGCACTTGTAAACTATGAGAAGATGAGCAGTTTTCTCACAGGCAGTGTTTTTTTTTTTCAAATGGACATTTGAACTGTACGGATTTAATGGCACCAATTTAATGGTTTTTCTTCTTTGTTTTGCAGAAACAAACAATCACTGCTGTCAGAAAAGAGGTAATTAGTCTCCCAGTTTCCAGTGAAGCTTGATTTCAAAATCTTCTAACAAATTATGTGTACTTTGGCTTCATGATCCACACTCGGTAATGAAGTGAAGTCCATGTGTAATGTTCAGACCATTGTTTCCAAATTAATGGACAACAAGGGATCCTTGGTAAGGTCTCAGTGGGGCAGATGCTGGGGCTTGAGATGTGAAATGTCCCTTGAAGCCACACATCTGAGGGATGGTCAGAGAGGGCTGTGAGAGCAGACGCTGTCATGTCCACACCCCTAGGCTGGAACCTGCTCTTACAAATCCATCTGGAGTCTTTCCATGGGACAAGCTACCTACTTTGGCCAATCTCTGCAGGGTTTAAGCATGTATCTCCAGATCTTACTCCAGTACTCCTTGGGACACATTTTTCCCCAGTTGTTGGCTTTCCTCAAACAGACACATGATGGGTTAAGCAGAATACTAAGTAGCGGCCCGAGGTGTGGGCCTGAGCCCGGTTGTCACTGAGGCAGCTGACTTGAAGGTGTTGGTAGGGATACACGGCCTCATGTGTAATGGCAGAGTCAGCTGTGCTCAAGGACAGGAAGTTGGAGAGTATTTAATTATGTTTATTGTTGCTATGACAAAATACCTGACAAAGGCAACCTAAGGCTGGAAGGGTTAATCCTGGCTCACAGTTTTAGGGGATACAGTCCACTACGGGAGGGCCAGTCACAGTAGCAAGAGCACAAGGCAGCTGGCCACATGGCATCCACAGTGCAGAAGCAGAGAGATGAATGCAGATGCCCAGCTGTCTTCTTTTTCTCCAGTCCTGGGCCCCAGCCAATGCTCAGTCTTCACCTTTAGGGCGGATCCTCCCCTCTCAATCCACTCTAGAAACCCTCTCATAGACGGGCCAGGAGGTTTGTCCCCCAAGCGGTCCCAGATCCTGTCAGGCTGACCGTCACGGTTAATAATCACACATGTGGTCTAACAACCGTCTCTCTTCCAGATCATGTATTACCAACAGGCCTTAATGAGGTCCACAGTGAAGTCTTCAGTGTCCCTTGGAGGGTAAGTTCCAGGTTTGTCTTCTACAGCATGAGCAACAGGTGTGCAAGAGAATGTCTGCTCTAAGTCAAACATGGCGAACCATGTGCGGATTGACTTCAGGTTCCAACGAACCATGTTATGTTAGTGCATTTTTCCAATATTAGGTCATGGGTCAGGAGCTGCTTTAATGAAATCTTAATCATTTGAGTTTACCAATGAAGACCCGGGAGCCAGATGCTGGGGTAAAAGCCTGCTAGCTCAGAGAGACCGAGAAAGCACCCAGCTGACCTTCCTCCTCAGCCGATGTCCCAGAAGGAAAAGTGAAGCCTCTCAAAACAAAAAGAAAAAAACAAAAACAAAAAATCCTTAGGTTCACCGTCTTTTCCCTTCTACTTCCTGTGCATCTCTCTGTCCTTCCTCTGACTTCCTCTTACTCTCAATGTTTTTTTCTTATGTTCACTCCCTGTCGACTGGTTGCTTGCTTTGCCTCTTGACCTATGGTTGACTTTATTTAATCCTATTTACAATAGTCAAGCAGAAAGCTCTTGTACTAAAGGTGTATGCTAGGGATGAGCCACACCACAACCAGAAACAGGATATGTTTGTTTGTTTGTTTGCTTCAGTAAACAGCACAATCTTGGGTTCATAGTGTGATCAAATATTTGGCAACAGTTAGGATCTCATAAAAATCTTCAAATAGCTTTTAAACTTTCCCAAATTCAATTTTTTTTTAATGTGCCATCTTCCCTGAAAGCATGTCTATGGATGTGGGCAGAGTTTGTGGCCCAAACAACCTGTGGTTCTTCTTCACACACAGAGAAGGGCACTGCCTCTATCTCAGACACCAGGAAATGCGTTAACTTAGAAGGTCCCACCTAACTTGGGGCCAAAGGGATTGGGCAGTGAATTGCAGTTCCCGGACACAGGAATTACCCTTTCAGAAGTGGAGTCCAAAGGGTCAGTGGCCTTGGCTCATCTGTGGCAATTGCAGCTTCCAAGATGGACACCAAGACACAGACAAACTCTGTCAGCCTTGGAATCTTCTGATGACACGTGATAAGGCCAGATTTGCACTAGGGACAGAAAACTGACAAAGGAACAGGACTGGGAGAAGAGGGCCCTACTTCCCAGGTACAGCAGGACAGATCTTTCCAAACAGCTGCCCATCCCGGGGGCTGTCGCACATTTTTCTGAAAAGGCAGTAATGTGGGTGTGATTAAATCGATGCCAGATGAGAGGGAGAGCTGGCCAGTTAGGCCATGTGGTTGTCTTGTCTCCCAGGGCTGCGTTCCTAGGAAAGCCTTCGTCTCTCTGCTTTTCAGAATTGTCAAGTACAGCGAGCAGTTCTTGTCCAATGACGCCATCATGTCAGGCTGCCTTCCAAGCAATCCTTGGATAACTGATGACACCCAGTTCTGGGATCTAAATGCAAAACTGTATGTATTGGGGTTTTAACACATCTGTACGTGTGTAGGTGCATGTATTCATGTAGATGGAGGCCTTAGGTTAATATCAGGTGTCTTCCTTTGCCCATCTCTGCTGTTTATTGGGGCACGGTCTCTCACTGAACCTGTACTTCTCCAGTTCTGGCTAGCCTCGCTAGCTAGCTTTCCCCGGGGATCCCAGCTCTGCCTCCTAAGGGAGGAGATTACAGGTGGCTACCACACCCGCTTGGTTTTCTCGTGGGTTCTGGACATCCAAACTGGTCTTCGCACTTACCTAGCAAAATACTTTACCACTGAGCCATCTCCCCAGCCCCGAAATGTGCTTCATTTCAGGATGGTCTGTGACTCAGTCGCAAAAGGGCCTAGAATTCATGAAGCCTGGGCTTCAGCCCCTAACAGAGTATGATGATGATGCGTGCCTGTAAGCCCAGCACTTGCGAGGCAGGAGGATCAGACATCCAAGGTGCCTGAGCTACACAGCAAGTTCAAAGCCAACCTGGTGTACACGAGGCCCTGTCTCAAGTTTTCTTTTTGTTTTTTCCTTTTTGAGTTGTAATTCGTATGTCATACAATTTAGCCGTTTAAAGCAATTAAGCTGAGAATAACGGAGTCACTATAGTTGTTCTTTAAAAGAAACCTGCACCCTTTAGCTGTCGTCTCGTCCCCTGCAAATCCTTCACTCCCCCTAGCTCCTCCCTAGATGACCAATAGTCCATGTGCTTTCTGATTATCTGTATCCCCCTACTCTAGATTTGTCCTATGAAATCACAGGATGGGTGGCCTTTCATTAGGCATGTTCCGCGTTGTGGCACAAATCAGTATTTCATTTCAGTTGTGGATCAATGACAGTCCTTGTGTGAATGTGGTACAAACACACACCCATTTGGCCACATTGTAACTGTCATGAGTAACTCGGTTACAGACACGTACGTTCAGGGTGAAGGGGAAGTCTTGGTGAGTGACAGGTGTGGAGCTGGTGGCTGTGACCGCAGCGTCTCTCACCTGCATATCTCTGGGATTCTATCCTGGCCTGAAGGTAGCAGCCTGATCCTTAAATGGATTCTTTCTACATGGGCCCATGTAGAAAGAATCTTCTCCTCTGAAGATTTTTTTGGCACAGGGATCCACAGGGCAGTGGCTCACCCTCAGCTCTGGGAGGCCACCTATTGGGTGTGAACTCCAGAGGACTCAAAGGCTAGTAAGTGGCTGCTTGGAGAGAGTGTCTATACCGAGGTTAAGGAGTAAGGCAAGACTGAGAGTAGGTCAGAGTAGAGGACTTTGGCTAAGGACTGCACAAAGGTTGGTGAGGCGGACGCCTATCACTCTCACCCAGGCCAGCGCTGAGTACAGCCCCCTCCCCCCTGCCCTCCCGCCCCATCTCCCAAGGATGGTTGTGTTTATCTGTCCTCCTCTTGCAGGGTGGAAGTCCCAACCAAGATGCGGGTCGAGAGATGGGCCTTCAACTTCAGTGAACTGATTCGAGACCCCAAGGGCCGGCAGAGCTTTCAGTACTTCCTCAAGAAGGAATTCAGTGGTGAGTTCTCTTTTCCTTCCTCCCTCCCTTCTCTCCCACCTCCTCTCTGATTCATGTACTCAGGCTAGCCTTGAACTCTCTGGGTAGCTGAAAGTGACGGTTAACTTTTTTTTTTTTTTTAAGGTTTTATTTATTATTTGTACAGTGTTTTGCCTATACACCAGAAGAGGGCACCAGATCTCACTATAGATGGTTGTGAGCCACCACGTGGTTGCTGGGAATTGAACTCAGGACCTTCAGGAAAAAACAACCAGTGCTCTTAACCTCTGAGCCATCTCTCCAGCCCCAACATTTAACTCTCAATTCTTCTGACTCTACCTCCCAAGTGCTGGGGCTGCAGACACGAGACACTCGGCTTATAGAGTCCTGAGGCTCAAACCCAGGGCTTGGTGGATGCTAGGCAGATACTCTAGCAACTAAGTGGCCTCTCCAGCATGAGTTTTTTGTTTTGTTTTTGTTTTTTTTAAAGCACTCTCCCTTTAATATCCAGCCTAGGCTTTTAGGAGTTTCACAGCGGGCACTTGCATACCTTGTGAAGGCTTTTAAACAAGGCCTCTTGTTTTCCCAGGTGTAAGAGTCCTACCTGGGTCCAGGTCCTTCCTTTACCATAGGCTCAGAAAGGTACTGCTGTTGGGGAAAGGGGAATTATATCTTCTCTAAAATCTACATTAGCCTAACTCATATTTCCCAAGATTCCATCTTTTTGGCTTCCCTCACTCCATTGCTCAGAGTTCCTCTAACCCACTTCCTTGACCTCTGGCTCTCCACCCTCTCAAGTACAGCTTCAGAGTCAGGAAGCTGAACAAGCTAGCTTCCCCAACTCCTCTGCCAGCCCTGTTGCCTTTAACTTAGACGTCCTGCAGAGTCAACCAACCATGGATGTATAACTCATTATATACATTATATTATATAATATATAATTTATTATTATGTGTAATTTATTTTGTTTTTACTTTATATGTGTGGATACTTTGACAACATACACATTTGTGTACCATGTGCATGCAGTGCCCGTTGAGGCCAGAAGGGGGCGACATATTTCCCGGAACCGTAGTTACAGAAGGTTGTGAGCCACCATATGGGTGCTGGAAATCAAACCCGGCTCCTGTGGAAGAGCAATAAGTGCTCTTAACCCCTGAGCCATCTCCCAGTCCTGCAGGGATGTCTCTAAACTCGTGTTTACCTGGACCCGGCCCAGGGGTGGAGTGAGTTGGAATGGCTGTGGACTTGAAAGCTCCCCAGGGGATCGAAGCACACAGTGTAACTAACCTTCTGCCCTGTTTTCCTTCAAGCCTTCAGAGGAGGTGGACTTTAGTGGAGGAGGGTCTGTCTCTAAGTGTCTCATCCACAGAAACATCCGGGAACACGACCAGGCCAGATTAGAACCAATTACACATCCAATTTCTTCGCCGCCTTTGCTGAAGTGTTGGCTTTTGTGGGATTCATTTATCTGTTTGTAGATTCTCACCACTGGGGAGCTGCCTGATTGGGTTTGGGGCTCCAGGGCTTATTACCTTAAAGCAGCTAGTCTGTGGACCTGCTCTGAAGCAAATTGTACTGGATGTGCCTTTAGTCTGGATGGCGGCCCAGCACTGAGCATTGCATTAGAACATGGATCGCTGTGAATCATTCTTTCTAAACAAGCCTAACTGCATAATATAATAACCCTCAAAAAAGACCGATGGGAAAAGTAATGTGCGCAGAAGTGTCCAGCGACTAAGTGGAAATGGTGCCATCTAGTGGCGAGCAGAGGGCATGCCAAGCTTCACCCACTCATTCTTCGGCAACAGCATTCAGAAAATTTCCCTTGCATCTTTGAAACAATATTATTGAGTCTCCTCAGGAGATTCAGAGCATTCGTGTGTGGATAGGAAATAGAAACCATAGCTTTTCTTAGTTAATTAAAAACTTAAAAATTTTAGGTATGACCCTTAAGAAATGCGTCCCCCTTTAAAATGTAGTTTCATGTAACCCAGGTTGACCTCAAATTCACTGTGTAGCCAAGGATGACCCCAACATCCAAATCCTCCCATCTGTTTCCCAAGTGTTCTTATTTTTTTTTTTTTTTTTTTGAGACAAAGGGTCTCTGCGTAGCCCAGGCTGTCCTCAAACTCGTGATCCTCCTGTGTCAGTCTCTGAAGTGTTGGAATTGTGTAGCCCACTACCCTGGGTTCAAGCTGGTGGTTTTGCTGTTCTGTTTTGTATGTTCACTGAGCTTTACAGCTGCCAACACCAGCTGATTCTACAACAGCTCAGAGAGAAAAGTACCTTCCCACTGTAAGTCATTTCCGGTTCCCCCCTCTCCTGGGCTTGCTCCCCACTCCTCTCCTTCAGTCCCTGTGGACCTGGGTATTCTGCAAGCTTCTTGTGATGGGGACCCTAAAGCGTACGACCTTTTCTACACTCTTCTTTAATGGCTGCAACAGGTTCCATTGTGTGAACATAGCACTTTTATACGCCCATGCACCAATCCATGAGGATCTGAATTTTAAAAAAAAATTTTTTTTTTTTAAGTTTATGAGCATGGATGTTGTGCCTGCAAGTATATATGCAGCTCACGTGCATGCCTGGACTCACAGAAGCCAGAGGAGGGCAGCAGATCCTCTGGAGCTGGAGTTATAGATGATTGTGACGCGTCCTGTGGGTGGTGGGATGCGAACCTGGGTCCTCAGAAAGAGCAACAAATGCTCTCAGCCATGGAACCATCTCTCCAACTCTTGAATTTCGATAGTTTTGACTTTTCGCTTTATGAATACTGCAGTGAACTTTCTTATGTGTTTTAATGGGCTTATTCAATGTTTTAAAATGAGTGTGTGTATGTATTCCTGTGTGTGCGAACACACATGTATGTGTGGGTATTTGTACATATGTCTGTCCCTGAGTGTAGAAGCCGGAACATTTTCATCATCCGAGTTGAATCTGTGTGCTTGTCAACTGCCAACTTCCCATCCTCCTAGTGACCACCATGTCACCGCATGTCTCCCTGGGTTTGACCGCTCTAGGTACCTCGTGCAAGGATAATCATAGAGTTAGTCCCTTTGTGTCTGGCCTGTTTTACTTGATATAACTTCTGCCCTAGTCAGTATTCTAATGCTGTGAAGAGACACCATACCACAACAACTCGTAGAAGGAAGCATTTCATTGGGGCTGGCTTACAGAGGTCTGGTCCACTACCGTCATGGTGGGGAGCCTGGCAATGTGTATACAGACATGATGCCAGAGAAACAGCTGAGTGCTACACCTAGATCTGCAATCAGCAGGGAGAGAGGGAGACAGACAGAGACAGACAGACAGACAGACTCTGGGCTTGGAATGGGCTTTTTGAAACCGCAAAGCCCACCCCAGGGATTCACTTCCTGCAAAGGCCACACCTCCTAATCCTTTCCAGCAGTGCCATGCCTGGTGACCAAGTATCGGAATCTATGAACCGAGGGGGCCGTTCTCATCCAAGCCGCAGCGCCTTCAAGCTTCATTCATGTAACATCTCGTACTAGTCTGCTTTCTGTGGCTGTAATGAAAACCCACCACCAGGAGCACCTCGGGGAGGAAAAGGTTTATCCGGTTCACATTTCCAGATCATAGTGCACTGTGGAGGGAAGCTGGGGCGTGGACTCCAGCCGGAGCCAAAGCAGAAACCGTGAAGGAGTTCTACTCCCTGGCTTGCTCCCAGTAATGTTCAGTTACAGTTCTTATACAGCCTTGGCCCTTCCGACCAAGGATGGTGCCTGCCACAGTGGACCGGACCCTCTTCTATCAATAGTCAATCAAGAAAATGTCTCACAGGCACACCACAAGACAATCTGATTAAGGCAACCCACTGAGGTCCCCTCAGATAACTCCGGGCTGTTTTCAGCTGGTAGCTGAAGCTAAGGGATTCTCTGTCATTTTTAGGGGCGAATGTATCTCATGGCAGATGTGTCTGCCCACCATAGGTGCTTCTCTTGCGTGGGCATTTTGAGTTGTTTTGCCTTTTGTGAATTGCTCATTTAATTTAGTTCTGAGTGATGGACTGTTTTTTTTTTTTTTTTCCCTCTCCTATTAGCAAGATGTCTTGATGTCAGATCAATTGACTATTAAAGAAAATTGTTGGCTTGTGCTTGCCGTCCAGAAAATACCTGGGACAAATTCCAGCTAATATAGAGTTGTGCAGCCTCTACCAGTGAGACGTAACTGGAGACTTTCAGGAACTACTGAGGAAGCAGAGGAGAGAGTCCTCTTGTTCATTCAATGGCACCATGGTGTTTCAGATTGTGTATGTGTGTGCATACACACAGAACACATACATGCACACGTACACACATGGATACATACAATCACACATGTACACACACACACACACACACACACACACACACACACCCACACCCTGACTCAGGTACTGATGGCGCCATCTTTATTTTCTCCGGTATAACCGATACTTGGAATACTGTAACAGCATACCCTGATCTTTTTGGGTTCAGTGAATCATTGGGGAATGAATGTGAAATTGGGAAGAGATTGAGAATTTTGAGGATCTATGTTTGTTTGTTTTTTCTTTCTCTCTATTTCTCTCAGTCTAGAGGAGCAAAATTCCTCCGGTTCTTGTGACACTAGGTGCTCCTTGTAGCCAGGTTGCCTCTAAGCATCTGTCCTAAGCTGTCAAAGGCTCCACAAAGATACGGAAGGTTGGGGTCCCGACACACAGTCAGCTAAAGCAGGCAGAAGTCACGTGACTGTGAGATACACGCAGAGCATAGGAGCTGTGCAGGGGAGTCACACATGCTCATGAGCCTGCATGAATCGTTCAGGAAGTGTCTGCTACAGATACATCCTCAGCCAGACAGAGTATGGGCGCTGGTAAGATGGCTCAGTGGGTAAAGGCTGCTAAGCCTGATGACTCCATCCAACCCCTGGGACCCACATGACGGAGACAGCCAACTGCACCATTTGTCCTTTAAGCACCACACCCATGCCCACCATAAACAAACAAATGTCAGCTTAGAAAAAGCACATGGCAGCTCATGGGAGCAGGTCATCAGGAGCTCTGCCCTGGGGATTGTTGGAGGGCAGAGCATATCTACGTTGTGAGTGGATAATTGCTTCGAGCTTGGTGGTAGCCAATCCACTTTATGGCAGAGGACGCTCATGAGCCAAGCCATTTCTGGGACTCTGCTACTTCCACACCCCAGAAGTGAGACCCGGCTCTTTCTCCCAAGTTACATGTCTGGTGTCCCAGTGCTCAGTGATTCGTCTTGCAGGAAGATACTCAACAAGCGAGCCGAGCCTACCTGACCCTCATTTCCTCTTCTCTCCACTCATTTCCTGCCTGACTTTCATCTTCATGGACTTGTGTTCCCCGTGCAGGCGAGAACCTGGGATTCTGGGAAGCCTGTGAGGACCTGAAGTATGGAGATCAGTCCAAGGTCAAGGAGAAAGCGGAGGAGATTTACAAGTGAGGATTGGCCGAATCTTGGGGAAAGCCTCCCTTGTGTGGGTGGGATGAGATTCAGGGTTGGGGAGAGAAGACCCACACCCTTGTGCCTGTCTGGGCTCTGGCCAGCACCAGCCACTGGATGTACCATGCCTCCCTGATGTCTGGAAGATCTGAGGGTTCCTCTGAAGGAAGAAGTCAGGTGAAATGCATGGTGGAATTCATCTGGTCCCATGGATTTGTGTCCAGGGATTATGAAAGCAAGACAACCTGAACCACAAAGCCTCTGAGAGAGAGAGAGAGAGAGAGAGAGAGAGAGAGAGAGAGAGAGAGACATGGGGGAGGGGAGGTAGGCAGACTCTATTCCACAAGCCATCTTAGAGCCAGGCTACAGTGAAGGGAAGAGACTTCTTCCATGTGTGTGAGACAGCGAGCCCAGTTAGGGTGCAAGTGTGGACAGATCTCTTGTTCCCCACTCATGGTTCTGGCCTCCCTTCACTTGCTCTAGCAACAGTGAGAGGTTTTGTATCCCGTAGCCTGGGAGAGTCCCCTGTGCCAAATCGTACATGGTGCCCCAGGACTTGAAAAACCCAGCCAGCCTTGGGGCTGCTGGCCTGGATGCTGAGGCAGTCACCCTCTGGGAACTGGAGTTATGGCTGCCCTCCATCACTAGTCAGCTTTAGCAGTCCTTCATCAAACTTGTCTGTCCTGGGCCACGGCAGAGCAGAGGTACCAGGGCACCATTTTAGAGGTGTCTTTACCTGGCTTCAGGTTGGCCCTAAGATGGAGGTTGACCTGGAGATGGCTTTTTTTTAAGATACTTTATTTTTAAGTGTGTGTGTGTGTGTGTGTGTGTGTGTGTGTGTGTATACAGTGCCTTCAGGGTCTAGAAGGTGGTTCTGGATTTCCCTGGAGCTGGAGTTACAGGCAGTTGTGAGCCACTCAATATGGATTCTGGGTATTGAACTCTTGGTCCTCTGTAAGAGCAGCAAGTGCTCTTAACTGTTGAGCTATTTCTCCAGTCTCCCTAAAAGTTGATGCATCCTCCAAATTGCAAAGGCCTCACCATCCTAGGCCCATCCCACCAGCTTCTGGCTGGCTCTCCTAGAACATCCAGGTTAAAACCCCATTCCCAAGGCTGCCATGGCCATAGTCTGGCCTCTGGGGAAAGCTGATTGACAGCCTCTTCAAAGTTTACATTCCTCAGTGTCTCCTAACCAGCCTGGGCCTGCTGTGTGGTCCCTTTACCCTTCACACCTGGGCTCCGTGGTCATCTCCTCTGATGGACAATCCCACCCCCACCCCCCCCGCCCCCAGGCTGTTCCTGGCACCAGGGGCGAGGCGCTGGATCAACATAGATGGCAAGACCATGGACATCACCGTGAAGGGGCTGAGGCACCCCCACCGCTATGTGCTGGATGCTGCACAGACCCACATCTACATGCTCATGAAGAAGGTAGGCGGGTGCTGAGGGTGCTCGCAGGCCAGGGAGCCCCCTTCTCGGTTACCAGGAAAGCTCCTCAGATGTGGGGAAAGGGAGGTGACCTGTAGATGCTGCCTCGCTGCTACGAGGAGGCAGAACTGCCTGCTGTTTCTTCCCGTGGTCCAGCAGCCTAGAGCTTCCTCAAGCCCCATCACCACAGGAGCTGCCTGTGGCTAGCGGTTCCTTGCACCGCAGTTATGTTGTAGGCAGTACCGGTGACAGACTTAGCAAGACAGACTAAGACAATCGCTGAGGGGCAGTTGAGAACTTATGAAGTGCAGTCTCTGCGTAAAGCAAGACTGAGGGAGGATCCTTCGGAGTCCGGGCTTGCCTGAGGTCTCAGCAGGGATGAAGACGGGATGCCAGCCCCTGCTCTGACAGGTCCAGAGGCCCGGCTCTTGGTCTCTGCTATGGATACTCACAGTTCTCACGATCCCGAGCCAACATAATACCAGAGGGTTTAGTGTCTCGATGGTTCACTATGATTGCAGGTAAATCTTGTGGGGATTTGGGCAGATTCTGGATTATTAGTGAAATGGGAATGAGGTAGAGGCTTCCAAGGAACTGTCATGAACAGCGTAAGGAGAATCTGAGAGAAATCACTATCTGAAAAAAAAAATTTTGAAGGAATTACTTTTTCCCATTTTGTGTGTGTGTGAAAGAGAGGTGTTCTGGTCCTCTTTTTTTTTTTTTTTGTGTGTGTGTGTGTGTGTGCACATGAAGGCATATGTGTGGGGAACTGAGAACAACTTTATGGAGTCCATTCTCCTTGTTCACCATGGGGGTTTTCAGGTCATCAGGCTCGTTGGCAAGCACCTGTGTTCAGTAAGCTGTTTTTTCCTGGCCTAGACACAGCTAATTATTATTTTATAATTTTTCCATTGATCAGTTGCGTGTGTATACGTGGTTTGTCTGTTCTCCCTACCATGTGGATCCTGGGATCAAACTCAGGTCATCACGTTTGGTGGTGAGCACCTTACCAAATGCTGGCTAGGCAAAATCCCAAGACAAGGCTTTCCTTCCACTCCGTTGACTTCTCATCGTGACAGTTATTCCTGGCGGCGTGCTACCTCCAACAGCTTTGTCGTAGGTTGGTAGGAATGGCTGAACATCCATCGTCTTCCCCTCTTTGTAGTTATTCTCTCATTGTTTTAAAGCAATGAATGCGTTTACGTGGAAATCATCATCACTTGCAACTTTCAGCGAATTACTTTAGCCACTTCGTACCATTTTTCTCACCAGTGTTCCCTGGCTTTTTCTTACTAGAAGATCTATAATAAGGTCTCTTTAATGTATTTTAAAACTGATTTTGACTCTTAGCAGGGGCTGGGGAGAGGGCCCAGGAGCGGGGAGAGGGCCCAGGAGGCAAAGCCTTCTGTGCAAGCTGGACGACCTTAGCTTTTATTGCCAGCACCCACACGAGAAGCTGAAGAACAGAACCGGAGGATCCCCAGGGCTCCCTGGGCAGCACAGTCAAGGCAAGCGAGCTCCAGGCCCAGCAAGAGCCCATCTCAAAAGTAAAGTGGAGCATGATTGAGGAAGACAGTCAGTGTCGACCCTCCGCTTCCTACACATGCGCAGATTCACATACCCTCTTCCTACACATGCGCACTAGCTAGGACAAGACAGGCATCTCATGGAAAGACCGCTGTACGCCTGCCGTGGACTCCGTATCTCTAGAGGCCACGTGGTGACAAGTTCCACACGGCCCAGTGGCGTCATTGTCCCTGTTCCCGGATTCCAGCCGATCTCTCACGAGCTGTCACTTCCACCAACTAGTCTCTAGGATTTAATAAATCTTCGAGACTGCTCTCAATTGCTGGGTCGCTGTGGTGGGCACTGTCCCATGTTGGTTGTGAGTGGAGTTTTCCGCTGCTTTGGAGGTACCAGGCAGCTTGGGGAGCAACTTCCCTCCCGCAAGAGCAGCCTAAGCCTTGTTCCTTTCAGTTGTTTTTGCCCAGGAAGAAACGGGTATTAATGGGGTTATGTTTTTTTTTCCCCCAAAATCTCAAATGTTGGATTTTACCAATAAAGACTCTGGAGTCAGATGCTGAGGTGAAAGCCTGACCCAGCCCAACCTTTTTCTTCCGCTGACTTCCTAGAAGCGATCTCTGTCAAACGGAACGCCCGTTTCTTCCACTTCCTGCGTGTGTCTCTATCTGTCCCCCTGACTTTCTCCTACTCGCTATGTTTGTTTTTATGTTCACTCCCTGTCAACTGGATGCTTGCTCCTCCGCCTGACCTACGGTTGACTTTACAAAATTCAAACAGAAAGCTTTTGGAATAAAGGTGTGTGTTAGGGCTGAGCCACACCATAGCCAGAAACTGGTTTTTCCAGTAAACAACACAGTCTTGGGGTTCACAGTGTGATCAAACGTCCTGCAACAGAGTTAGAAGTCGGCTCCATCCCTATGGTAATGAAGAGTGGGAGGTTAACGTCATCTTGTCTCTGGTTGGCGCCAACTCAGGTTCAAAGCTCTGAGGAGGATTTTAGTGCTGGGGGTTGTGAATTGGAATCACTGATCTCAGCAACTCCCCAAACACCCCTCCGAGGAATGAGTGAATGAATGAAATGAATGAATTCCCTTAACTTTGCTGCCCCACCGCGGAGAGGCTCGGAAGTGGCAAGCCTGTTCTGTGCTTTCTGATACACCCCTCCTCCCTGGATCATCACCATTGTTTTCGTCTTCTTCCCACCAGGATTCTTATGCTCGCTATTTAAAATCTCCGATCTATAAAGAAATGCTGGCCAAAGCTATCGAGCCGCAGGAAACCACCAAGAGAAGGCAAGTGGAGTGTCGTTAATTGCTGGCTGCCTGCTGTTTCCTTTAGAGACATGAGGGCCTCTTTCTGCCAAATGGCTAGAGCGGAGCCTTTTGCCTGATGACAGTGTTGGGGGCTGGAAAGTGTTGTACAGTGAGCGAGTGCCTCATTTGCTTAGAAATGCCCTCCAGCAAGATTCCCTTAGTGATTGCCTCCAGTCAGTTCTGTTTCCCTGACTCCAGTTCTGTAGGGCCCTGGTTATCAGACCGATAATTATGAGTATCACAAATGGAGGCATCTCATTGTTTTGCTGTTTTGTTCTGCCACCCCACCTCTCTACTGCCAAACCGATGAATAGGAATGAATTAAGTTACACCTCTGTAAAGCCACTGTTCCAAGACCTGAGAGAGAGAGAATGGAAATTGCACACTGAAAGAAAATGCTAGGCGGTTAGGAGAAGCAAACAGTAACACCCCAAGCATTCTTGGTACCCCTGGGGACTACTTTCTAGAAGTCCATTAACTAGTTGGAAACTTCTATCACCTCATCTGATAGAGACACTGGGGAAAGGGATGATGTTATATTCTGGGGAGCAAATTGAACTTTTTTTTTTGTTCATGGGGAGCCAGAGGATTATTTAAAGATTTAAAAGAGTAAGAATAACAGCTTGAACAAGGCTGTGAAACGCTGGCAGAGTTGTTTTGTTTTTTCTTAAAACACAGTCACCTGTGGGCCGAGGGCCCCTGCAGTTAATAAATGTTCCTGTTTGTTCAACCAATGCTGAGCCCATGGCCAGCATCTTCAGTCTACTCAAAAGGGGTGGGTGGGTGGAGAGTGGGCCAGACGTTATCAAAGGAGCTTACGAGAGAATACACAACACACCACCTTGTCGTATTCCAGGGTGACAGGGTAAGGTGGGGAGCCCAGTGGCCCCAGGACTCCAATTAAGGGCTGCAATAACTCCAGAAATTCTGTCAGAAAGGAGCTGGGCACGTGGGATGGGGCTGATCGTCTCATCCTTATGTCCTAACGTTTTATAACTTGGGGCAGGCATGGGAAGTCAGAGAGGGTCCTTCTCAGGCACAGCTCTGGCATTGAGTGCATGGGATGGCAGAGACCCCAGCTGGAGGACTTGGCTCTGGCAAGGGACATCACAGTCTGGGAATGCTGTCATCCGTGGTATGAGTGAGAACAGGTGTGAATGTTCACACAGTGTGACAATTGTGTTCAGGTGGGAATGCAGTGGTTGGGAATCCATTCCATGGCTCACAGGTATAAGAAAATCAGGAGTTAGGGTACAAACCTTCTCTTTGGAAGAGCTGACAGCATGGCAGGTGGCCGGTTCTCTTTAGGAAGGGCATCCCACCTCTCTGGTGTAGAGACAAGGGATCTGGGGCCTCAAGTAGTCCTGAAATTCGGGGTGGGTCTTGGGTCTTGAGTCTGTTATTGCTATGGAAATGCTAGCTCCCCAAATCTATGCGGGCCCCGAGGCTATGTGTCTCAGCCATAAGCCCTTTAAACCTTACCCTGTTTTTTTAGGATGTAGCAGTCAGTTTGCTCACAGGAATCTATGTTTAGTTTTGGAATATGTTTTTAATTCATCCTAAGATCTGGCACGTGGGAAGGGTGGCTGCTGCCTACTGCCTACCAATCCTCTGAGGAAACATCCATAGGAGCCCAGCCCTTCGGGACAGCTCAGCTTTCTTTGCTTCTGTGTGTGTGTGCATGTATGTAAAGGCCAGAGGACAACCCAGCTTTCTTTTTTTTTGAGATACAATCTCTCACTACCTGGAGCTGACTGAGCAGGTCAGGCAAACACCTCAGGGCTGCTCAGACCTCTCTCCCCAGCACTGGGATTACTGCTGTGCACCACCCCCCTGGGTTTTCTTTTTACATGGGCTCTGGGGATGAAGCTCTGCTCCTTATGCTGTCAAGGGAGCTGTCTCCACACCCGTGCACACTGGCTTTTTTAAACAAGTGCCCTGAGCCGTTACTCTTCCTCAAGACTCGAGCTCTCGGGCGCCCATCATCCAACCCAATCCGCTGTGCCCTCTTCTTTGGAGATCTTTCAGAGATAACATCAAGATATTTAAGACCTTGCATGGACACAACAAATTCATTTCTTAACACTGTAGACAGGGTGTTTGCCACCATCATTATCATCCCCAAAGACCTGAAATCTGTTGGCAGTTGTATTCACTACGGTCCATCCTCCATTGAGGGAAAAGAACTAAGGTTGGACCGTGGTTCTGGCGATGCTCTTAGAATTTCACTGGGAAAATGAGGGAACATGTCCAAATTGGAACCTTCTGGCCCAACTTCCCCAGGCATGTTAGTGTCACTGGACAAGCAATATGGTTTTCTACCAACCACTCATCTGTCTTTCCTTGTAGCGCCACCCTCCCGTTCATGAGACGTCACCTCCGTTCCAGCCCGAGCCCTGTCATCCTGAGGCAGCTGGAAGAAGAAGAGAGAGCTCGCGAAGCAGCCAACACCGTGGACATCACCCAGGTCATGAGCAAGCTGGACCGCAGGAGCCAACTCAAAAAGGAGCTGCCTCCTCCTAAATGAGTTCCCGGTGCTGGTGTGGGGTGTGCACGTGGGGGAGGCAACGATGCTCCCCCCCGAAAGGATTAGAGTTTAGAAGGTCTATTCTCAGCAAAATGTAGGATTCAGAGGGTATTCCCTGATCAAGAGTTACATGGCTTTGTGTTCCTACGTCAGGTCAGCAAGTTGGTAGCCGTGCCCACCCCCCTTGCTTTAGGGAGCTCACCTGGTGAGAGGCATAGGAGAAAGGGGTGACGTTGTGTGCCCACTTATCAAGGAACTGTCCCGGCACCCCCCAACGCTACTTCTCTGAGGAGTGTTTATTTAGAAAAGCTTTGTGAAACTTCTCACTCCATCTCTCCAATTTAGATGCAACTTGAGAACCCTCCATGGGCCTCTTGTCAGGCCCTTCTGTGGTCTCCTCTGCTACACCTGCCTCGGAAGGCATTGCTGGGACCCCTTTCCTAGTGAGCTTGTTCTTAGCCGTGGCTACCTCTTTGCTTTCCCACCCCCTTGTGCATAATGTATAGACAAATAGCTTATAGGAATGAAAGATTCAGGCTAGAGGAGGCACGGAGAAACATCTTGTTGAGAGTATCTTTTCAGCCAAAGAAGAAAGGCACTGATGGTTGCGTCCAGGAGGAAGGATGGTGGATATCAGATATACTTTCGGCAATATTTTCTAGCTGTTGGAGCTACCTTTCTCTATAGCTATAGACTAGGCTATCTCAGTGCTCAGGGGAGAGGATAGGTCAGTCCATGACTTTGAGTCCCACAAGGTTGTTCTCGAAGATAATTAACCCCACATGCCCGTATGCAAAAGAGAACGAGAACAGTGTTAAGAGACCAGTCTTCTAAAGCAGGAACACCCGTTCCACACACTTACTGAGTACCTTCAGTGTGTGGGGCTTGGATGAACAAAAATGACATTGCTCCCCTCTTAGAGCCTGTGCTCTAGGGCAGACAGAGTACTATCAGGTAGCCTTGGTGGCACACTACTAGGCCACTACAGTAAGCATTTATTGTTCATGCATATGGGGTCATCTCTGCGGCTCTACTGTCCTTGGCTGGGCCTTGCCCTATGTCTGGAGGAGTTTGGCTTACAGAAGCTTAAGCTGGAGTGAATGTGGGCTCTGCTTCATGTACCTCTTATTCTCCAACAGCCCTGCCTAGGCGTGGTCTTAGGGTGGTGGCAGAGTTGCAAGGGAGAAAAATAGAACTGCATATGGCTTCCCATGGTCTCTCACCCATCTTTTCTTGGCCAGAGAAAATCACGGATGCCACCTGGATTAAAGGAGTAAGGGAGCAGGGCCAGGGATGTGTGTTGGTGGGCAGAGTGCCCACCTTGCATGCATGGAGTCATGGGTTCAATCCCCTGGCACCATGTAAAACCAAACCTGGTGGTGCACACCTGTAATCCCAGATCTTGGGAGGGAAGGTAGAACTACTATGAGTTCAAGTCATCCTTATGTCTGTGATGAATGGGAGGCCACCCTGGGCTCTATGAGGTCCTGTGTCCAAAGGAGGAAAGGAGTACAGAAATAGGCTCTATTATTTTTAGTAAAACTATGTCAGAATCCCATTGGAAAATGCATGGATACATGAAGGGGTTCATGGTGATAATAACGAACTAAAAACCAGAACAAAACCTACTGAATAAGTTATAAAGGAAGTGGGTATGAGACCCCGCTAAGGAAGATGTGTTCTATATAGACTTACGCTTCTGAGGTAGTGGCAGAGAAACAGAGAATGAGAAAGATTTGTCACAGAATGTGACCAAGCAAGGATAATGTCCCACAGAGAGAGGAACTGTAAGGACAAAGCCCAGATGCGGGGGAGGAGGGTCAGTGAAGACTGTCTAGGCCAATATAAGTAGTTTGTGATCACTGATCCCATGCTAGAAAGATGACCTCATCCCCAAAGAGGGGAGCAAACGCTTCCCAAATTCACAAGCTACTCTGAGACAGCACCAACAGATGTGCTTTTTGAATATTCTTTTGAAGAATGTTGGAGTCCGCCAGCAGAAGCTTTGGGTAATGAACCATTATAAACTGAATGGTATGAAGAGAGAGACAAAAATCTACTCTCCCTCTTGGAGTCTAACGCCCAAGACCTAGCATGGTCCATACATGTGTGTTATATGGCTGGTTGAATGAACAGATGAACGAATGAATAGAAAGAACTCTGGAGGAGGCCTCTCAGGCCCTGGTCTTAATTCTAACGCGAGCCATGTATTCTTAAATAACTCATAGGCTCTCTCTCCTCCTTAGTCATTTGTGAAGAAGGGGGGGCTGTTTCAAGATCATTTCCAGGACTGGGATAGCAACTTTACTTGAATATTTAGAATAGGAGGAAATTTAGGTAATTTTTAAAAATTTACATTAAAACAACCATAAATATATTATGAAATAGAATGCAAGATGCACATGAATTTTTAAGGCTAACGTTGGAGACATCAAAGTCATTTCATGCTTGGCTATGCAGGTTCAGGCACTGCCCCCCTAAGACTCCAGAGGGATGCGTGTTTACCCGGCTCTCCTGCTGTTTGGCCTACTTTAGTGGGAAAGCTGGAGAAGCATGAAACCAGAGAATGTTTGCTGTCCCCTGTAATCACTCCACACAAGCTGAGGTCATGCCATCAGGGTGGTAGCCAGAGCGGCGGAGCCGCTGAGTTTGCCGTGAACTCTTCAGGGTACCGCTGCCCAGGTCCCATTCATCTTCGGTCTGTCCATCTGCCACCCCACTCCTCAGCTCGCGTATCTCCAGTCTGTCATGCTCTGAAAGACAGCAATTGGTTGTTTTGGGTTCTTTCCCACAAATGTGGGAATCTACTTGGCATTGGAGATACAAGGGCCTGCAGCCAGTGAGAGTCACAGGCATTACACAGAGTAAGCGAGCATTCTCCAGTCAGTGAACGAAGAAATAAAGGTCTGAACATTATTCACATGAAGAGAGGTACACGAGGGTAGCAATTAACAATCCACAATGAGACAGACAGACAGACTGTGTGTATGAAAATAGAGGCCAGAAAAAAATATTTTTTGAGACAAGACTTGGCTAGACTGGAACTCAGTTTGTCTACTGGGGTGGCCTTGAACTCATAGAGAGCTGCCTGCCTCTGCCTCCAAAGTGCAGGGACGAAGGGTGTGTACCACCACAAGTGGCACTTAAAGACCAGTTTGTTTTGTTTTGTTTTGTTTTGTTTTTAAGAATCAGTAGAAGGACTATCGGGGGATAAATATGCAACACGGTCTTGGTCTTCATGGGGCTGATGAAGATGTGTGGGTGCCAATGGCTGAACCATGAGACAGAGTGTGATTAGGGAACTGTCTGTTTAACCTGGGAGAAATGCCAAAATGGGAGAGAATTGTTTGGACTGAGAAGCTTCCAGAGATGTGTGATTAGAAGTGTGAGGCTTAGGTCGGGCCTTGTTGTGCACACCCCCAACACTTGAGAGGCAGAGACACTCAGATTTGTATGGGTTTGAGGCAAGCCCGCTCTGCATTTGAGTTCCAGGACAGTGAGATGCATCGTGAGACCTTTTCTCAATGAGCACAAACAACAAATCCAAAGAAAGGAGGGTTAGGCTCCAGCACTAGCTTTTTTTTTCTGTCAACATTCCACAAGGATATCCAGTGTCTGTTACTTGCCAAGCATTGAACAGGTGCTGCCAACAGGGACTGGGGTGAGAGGAACAGGGGAGAGGAGTTGAGAGGAGAGAGGCCCCTGTTGGTTACTTACAGTTAGCAGGAAGGACAAGAGTGTGGGAGGTTGAATTATAGGAAAGCCCCATGATGCTTTGGGAGGTCATAGCTAGCCTATGGAAGGGTAAAGAGCTGCTGTCACAGCTCTAATGGGGGTAATGGCTCCTGCTAACTTGTTACCATGAGTAGACCTAACAGCAGCCTGTCAGAGCCCATTTATATCTCAAATGACATCAAAATAGCACATATTTAGAGAATATATTAACATGTTTAAATCACTACAATAGTATTTACTGCGCCATGTTCTCAGATACCATCTCCATTTCTTAAAGCCAGAATTTAACCACATAACAAGCTCTGCCCATGGGGTTTAACTGTGCTAGATTATATTATTTTGTAAGATTCTAGGATTTCCTTTGTAGAGTTCTAGTTTCCTGTTTGGTGATTATAGAAAACATTGCTTTCATTACGGCTATTAAGTAGAAGATACAAGAGCCAGGGGCAGGAAACTAAGAGTAAAGTCCTTGGAATCATGCCCAGCACAACATCAACGCTCAACAAATGCTGATCACTGCCACTTTGTCACCATCACTAACATCATCATCATCATCATCACTGTTATTACCACCATCACCATCATCTTACCATCAGCATCAGGTACCATTCCCATTGTCACTATCATCATCATCACAAACCACCAGCATCTTTACTCTCAGCATCACTACCAGTACCATCTTCCTCACCATCTTTATCACTATCACAGTCACTGTCGTCATCATCACCGGCACCATCATCCTGTCACCACCATCATAACAATCCTCATTCCCACCACCCTCCACCACCATTCCTATCGTCCTCACTGCCGGAATCAACATCACCATCACCACCGTCATAGCAGCAGCAGCAGCAGCACCACCACCACCACCATTACCAATCATGACACTCCCTGTATTCGTCATGGTCCTGAAGTAAGCAGCTGCTTTCTAATCAGTGTTGTTTCTTGCTTTGGTGTTATTACATTAGGAATTTTTAAATCATTTTCACCTGGGACCGTCTTACTTCTTGGCTCTCTATCTCCTGAACCCTCTAGACAGCATTAGGTGATGTCTGAGGCATTACACCCTCTAAGTACAGCCTCCAAGAGAAGACTGATTAGTAACAGCGTGATGACCAGCAGACCTGGGGCTCCAAGTTTTATGGCTGAAGTGAGGGTCAGTCCCAGCTAGAAGGGTCTTGTGCCTGCTTGCATTCAGTGAGATGACTAGCCAGAGAAACAATGTGGTCACCTAAGCTGGCCAACTTATGGGACCAACTTTACTTGCTTTTGGAGAAGAGGGGAGGGGACAATAGAAAGAGCCTCGGCGTGGGTCCTTGCATGCTGACTATGGCCAGGGGTCTTTGATTTCTCAGCCAGTTTCTGATGGAACAGACATGAGTAGAGTTGCTGAACTATCTGCTTTGTCTTCCATTACAAACCCTGTGATCGTGTCTTCCTGTTAATGGACCACCTCATTTCATGCTCCTGACATCCCTGTCTGTTCTCTTGCATAATAATAATAAAAAAGCTGTTGCACACCAAATCTAAACCAAGTTCTACTTTGTCCTGTCACATTTCTTTGCCAACTGTCTTGCATGCTGCTGCTTTGCTGCTCATATCATTGGTAGCTGGTGCATAGACTGGAGGGCTGGGTTACAGCATGCAAGCCTAGGCCTCCATGGGAAGGAAGAGTGGGAACTTATGGATTCCTGTGAGAAAGAGCTAGAAAAAAAACTGTCCCGCACCAACTGGGAGAGTGGCCATTTTCCAAGAAGGAACCATCTCAGCCCAGGTAAGTCAAGAAGGAGGTAGCGGCCAACTTCCTTACCTGTCTTGTCATTCATCCTGAAAAGGAGAAGATTCTGAGGAAGGGGTGAGGTGGGGAAGGGAGAGAGGGAGAGAAAGAGGAAGAGAAAGGGAAAGTCAAGCCGTATGATCTTGGTTAAGCCCCTTTATCTCCAGGAGCCTCAAACTTTTTATCTGTAAGGTGGAGTGATCTTAGGAGTTCATGACACATTCCAAGGTAGTGAGGTTCAAGTAAACTTCGTAAGTAACTCACTGATCTCTCCGCCCCCCTCATTTTACTTCACTTTCCAGGAAGTAATAGAAATCACATAGGACATTGAATGGCAGCATGCGTTAGCATGGACAGCAGGGCCTTTGGGGTCATACCTAGGCTCAGAAGGGCCTTTCATCATTATCTTAACTTTCTATTGAGTGTAACAAATGAGCTCATTCCTCTCCACTGTCCTTGAGTTTAACTGACTTTACCCTGGATTGTGTGGGGTGACTTTGAGACTAGGCCTTATTCTGAAGTCAGTAGCCTCTTGCCCAGGGCTCAGGCAGCCTCCTTCAGTCTTAGGTTCTAAGGGATAAGCAGAGCCCTCTGAGCAAGACAACTATGTGGTTGTTGCAGAGAAGGTCTGTCTCATTGTAGTCCTTTCTAGGCCTCTCTTGGAAGCAGCAGTAGTTCAGCTGTTCCTAAGACAACACTTACTTCCTCATGACTTCTGCCCATGCCAGGCTTTCATGTAGTGTAGGCCTTCATGAGGGACCCAGCAGCCCACATCAATTGACCCTTGTGGCCTACAAAGGAAGAGGGGACAGTGAAGAGCTCACTGGAAATCTTAGCTTTAATTTCCTTGCTCAACTTGGACAAAGCTTCAGGTTTCTTGAGCTGAAGAAATGTCAGACCCTCCTTTCTGCCCCAACACTCTGGACTCTGGAGCCACAATGGTCAGGACAGTGAGATACTCCCTTTCTCTGCTGATTCACAGACTCACCTCCTCCTCTAGAATTGCCTCTTTCCTCTAAGCTACTCAGGTTCTACACGCAGCCTTTTCCTCTTGCTTCCCCTGCCCAGTCTAAGGAGAGGCCTGGGTGAGCGCTGGCATTGGAGTCGCTAAAGCACTGTCAGAGGGGTGGGTGTGGTCTCAGGCAGGGAGGCTCAGCGGGGCACCTGTTGCAGGCCTCCCCACTTGCACTACTCTGTTAAAGTTAAATTGTTCAAGTTTGGAACGTAGCTCAACCGTAAAGCTCTTGCCTAACATGGGAAAGGTCATGGGTTCAATTCCCAGCAAACACACACACACACACCAGACAATAAAATAATGTCAAATTCTACAGCTAACGATGAAGAAGAGGTGACATGCATGGGAAGTATACAAGGCCTTTGGAGGCTTGAGGGGTAATCAGATTCAGCATGGTTCCACTCCAGCCTCCCAGGACTGGAAGGTCAGCTTGTGGTAGACGGGTCCTGGCTAGAGGTCCTTGTATGGCTGTGCCACTAAGACAGATACTTCAGGGTAACCTTTTCAATCAATCCATCCAGGAGGTAGCCTGAAGAGATCTGCGTCATTGCCTTGGAAGGAGATGGAGTTAGATGAGAATGGCACATTGGCCCTCGAGGCTGGAGACGCACCTCCATACTAAACTTTGTTTTTTTCCTTCTCCACAGTCAGGCCAGCACTTGGCTCCCAGCCCTCACCTGACCGTGTACACAGGGACCTGCGTGCCTCCCTCTCCTTCCGGCCCCTTCTCCCCATCCTGTCGCTCCCCCAGGAAGCCCTTTCCCTCACCAAGTCGCTTCATCCGGCGGCCCAGCATCGCCATCTGCCCCTCACCCATCCGAGTGGCCTTGGAGAGTTCTTCAGGGCCAGAGGCCAAGGGGGAAACCAGCTGGTCTGGTGTCAACTGTGGGTCCCCAGGCACTGAGAGCAGCGGGACATCTGTGGATCGCTCAAGACCACATGACCAGCCCAGGGCCCCTCCCAAGGCCCGTGCGGCTCTGTCCCTCAGCAGGTTTCTGAGAAGGGGCTGTTTGGCATCACCTGTGTTTGCCAGGCTCTCGCCCAAGTGCCCGGCTGTTTCACATGGGAAGGTGCAGCCTCTGGGAGACATGGGCCAACAGCTGCCCAGGCTGAAAACCAAGAAAGTAGCCAAGTAAGAAGCTGAAGGGGGTGCTGTGTGCATGTGGACGGTGGGTGTGAGTTTGGGTATGGGCACGGACCATGGCGCCATGGTGATGATGGAACCATGGGGCTGAAATGAGGGATGTGGAGACACACCACAACTACTCGAATCACATCTTTAAGCCACTTACCCCAGAAACTCACTCCCATCCTCTTGTAAGACCTGGAGTCTCACTGCTCAGGATCGTGCCCTTCCCAGGAACTCTCACAGACCACAGTTCGATGCAAAAGCAAGAGGTTTTATTGCTATCGAGATAGGGTCGCCCCTCCAAAGATAGGAGACGAGCCCGAACATGCAAAGCACAGGGTTTTTATACCTGAAAATCAGATCCCTTTTGCTCTATAGTTTACAGCTGGTTGTAGATGGTTTACAGCTGGTTGTTTCTCAGAGCAGCTCACCCGCCCTTCAAGAGCTCTCTGCACCTGGCTTCAATTCAAAGAATCCCAGTTGTTTCTCATTCCCAGGTGGTCCCTCACTCTCTCCCTCTTCCAAAGATGGGTAAAGGGCAGGTGTCATTTTTTCCTTCTTTATCTGCCTGTTCTCCACACACCTGCCCCATCCCAAGACTACTAGTCAGGTAATTCATTGCATTTGGAAAGGGCCCAGCAGTAACTCCAGGCTATGATGTTCCTAACACATGATTCCCCAGGGGCTCTGGCCCTTTGCCAGCCCATACCTCAGGTGTTATTGCCTCCTTGGTCCCGAAAGATACCTACCTGCTCTCCTAAAGGGCCTTAAAAAGATACTTGCTCCTGTGGTGGTCTAAGAGAATGAGTGTCAACTTCCAGGTCTGAAATCTGAGAATCCCAAATACCCTGAGGCAGCCACTCTGTGCAGATCAGAGGCCCAGAGTGGGATTTGAGAGTCCAATTGCAGCTTCGTGTTTATTGAGATTTGGAGGGGACAGTCAGAGGCACCCCCAAACCAATCCTGCTGGTCCTGCCTAGGCCAGGAGAAAGATGTGTCAGGCAGGAGTTGGACCCAGAGAGCGTGGCCTCTTTGGTTCAATGACTGTGGAAACAGTAGGGAGCATTGGCTGCCGTCCCTGTGTTGCCTGTGTGGCTTGGAGCAGGAGGAAGGGAGGTCAGCTCTGTTGCTTTAGGAAATGAGCGGGATCCACCATGGATATTGAGTCCCTCGGCTGGCCCCGCTGGGAGAGTGTTGTAGCTCTGTGGCCACTGTCCCACTTCACATGTGGGCATGGGGCTTTCTAAAAGGCTGTCTTTCCAGTGTCCCCAAGAGACCATTTAAAGGAGTGGAGGATTAAGTACTGGTATGTCAACACTACAGGGACAGACTGAATTCATCAAAACCATAAAGACTGAGAAACCAAAATAAGGCATATTTGGGATCATCTTTCATTCAGCAGAAAACACACACACACACACACACACACACACACACACACACAAATCTCAGTCAAAGGAGTCCCCAGAGCCAGTGGCTGCACGTGTCACTGTGGGTCAGTGTCTTTAGAATACTATTCTTTGGGACTGTGGGGATCATGTGAGGATTACCGAGCCTTTCTGTTTCTTCACTCGCTTTCTTTTTGTGCCTGAAGCTTTTTCCAGATCAAAATGGAAATGCCTACTGACAGTGGGCCCTGCCTGATAGACTCCGATGACACCGGGGCAGGAGAGTCTGGTGACCAGACCACAGAAAAGGAAGTTATCTGCCCCTGGGAGAGCTTGTCCGAGGGGAAGGCAGGCTGAGCAGGGCCTTGGGCCAGGAAGACGGTCCTGGCAGACACCATCAGACCTGGGGCACACTTGCTCTCAGACCCAAGTGCATTAGAATGATGTTGGAGGACTGGAAAAAAATGAACAGGGTGGAATGAAGGACTTGTGCTCTGGCTGACTCCCAGCGGCCACCTTTCCCCTTTCCCTGACTTTCTTTCCCATGCTTGCCCAGAAAGGCATGTGGGCCAGAAGACATCCCTTGCTGCCTTAAAACCAATAAAAGGGTCATTTGGAAGATTTTCTCGGATCGGGGTTCTGGCATATTCCTGGGTTTATTAGTATTCATAACCTACCACTTGTGAATTAAACTCGTGTCTTCAGTTTTGTGGGTAAAGGACATCGAGTCACTTTAGAGAGTTCCCTCTCTGTCTGAACTTGTTTGGACATGATTTCATTAATTGAGTTTCAAGGTGGCAGTCCCCCAGGGTGGCATTGCATAGAAAGGGCAACAGCTAGGGCAAAGGTCACTTGGAACACTGGAGTCTCTACGATGTTCAGAAGACACGGTTTGTTTTGGGGAAGGGTAAAACATATCTTTCCTTCCTTCCTTCCTTCCTTCCTTCCTTCCTTCCTTCCTTCCTTCCTTCCTTCCTTCCTTCCTTCCTGCCTTTCCCTTCTTAAAGTTATGTGTCTGTATGTGGAGCTCTGTGTGGCTATGTGTGCATGTGAGTGCAGGTGCCTGCAGAGTCCAGAAGAGGACACTAGCTCCTCTGAGTCTGGAGTTAGAGGTGTTGCTGAGCTGCCTGACATGGGTGCTAGGAACCAAACTTGGGTCTTCTAGAAGGCAGCAGGGACTCTTTACCACTGAGCCATCTCCCTAGCTCTTAACTACTACTCTGTTGCTGGAACAAAACACTTGACAAAAGCAACTTGAAGAGGAAGGAAGGGCTTATTGACTTATTTTGCTTCGTAGTTTGCGGATGCAGCTGGTCCTGGTGGAGCCATCCTGGTGGACGGGGTTTGCAGTAGCTCATCCCATTGCATCTGCAATCAGGAAACAGAGAGCAGAGAGACTGGATGGTGCTACTCGCTCACCTTCTCTTTTCTGTTTAGACCAAGGACCCCAGCTTATGGGGTGGTGCTGCTCATATGAAGATCCATATTCAGGATGGGACTTCTTTCTCCAGTTACGCTTTTCTGGGATCTATCCGTGGGGGCATGGATAGATGCAGAGGCATGTTTTCCATCAAGCTGACAATGCAGTTTAACCATTGCAGAGTGGGACCTAGAAGGGAAGTGCTCTGAAGAGGCAGGGCAATGTCAAGAATGTTTTTGGACAGGCCATCTTTAGGGCATCCCTGAGTGTAAGTCCTTGTCACAGAAGTCATGTGGGGCCTGAGAATGGTCCTACCTGTCAGGTCCTCAACTGTGCATGGTCGCTGGCGGGGACCTGCACGGTTGGTGGAGACTCCTGTGCTACAGCAATCAGATCTTCAACCATCTACACCTTGCAGGGTGACTGTGAAACACTCAGATTTCCCTTCTACAGCACCAGGCCAGAGGTGTGGGCCTTAGTGTGCTCCAACTGTCTTTCCCCACAGGTATTTATTAACTGAGTCCCTACTGGGTGCCTGACACTGTGTCCAGCCCAAGGAGGCAACAGTAAGATTCTTGGTTCATGGATTCATCTAATAGTTCTCAACCAGGTCAGTTTTGTCCCCTGTCGGATGTTGGATGGTGCCTAGAAACAATCTCAAAGTTTAAGGTTGGGGTAGGGGTTGGGAGCTGCTTCTATTGGCTAGTAAGTGAAGGCTGCTGCCGCTTGGTATCCTGCAATGCTCTGAACTCATAACAGTCTTTGTCTTCCAAAATACGAGAAGCACCACTACTGAGAAAGCTTGGTTCTTCTTGGAAGGTGAGGAGGGGCACCACAACACAATCTCTTTGTCCCATTTCCCAGTGTGACCACAATGAACAAATCTTTAAAAAAAACACTCTTTACCAGAAAAAGAAAAGAAAAAGGAAGGAAGGAAGGAAGGAAGGAAGGAAAGAAGGAAGGAAGAACAGAATGAGTGAGTGAATGAATGAATGAAAGAAAAATTGGGAGTTCAGGCTATACCCTTGTCTTTGGTTTCCACCAGCCCTGAAGTATTATCCCAGAGGGTCCTCCAGGGATTGTGGTGGGATCTGACAGTGGACGGAGACTAAGAACCTAATGGTGAATAAAAGCTCTTGACCCCACATGCAAAGTTCTTGAAGGACAAGAAACTTCCAGCGGTTTATTAAAGCAATCATTATGTTGCTCACCTTTAACCCTGAAGTACATCAGAATTCAATTGGCAGAGGAGAGCTCCTGACTGCTTCCAGCTTCTGACAGCTTATCATAGGCAGGATGTAATTACTGGGGCTGCTCAATAACCTTTCTGCACAGGCGATTCCGAAACTGAATACTGGGAAGGTGTGTGAGCAAAACTTGGGCTTGCCAGCCCTTGCTGGGCAGCCATTAATGCTTCATCTCTTCAGGGGCATTGCTTATTTTAGATGCTACCAAATCTAGACCACCGGACCCACAAGGCAATCACTCCTCCTCTTCTGCCATTGAAATAGTGAAGCAATAGGGGTGAAAAGGGCAGGGGCTGGTTTATTTGATGCCTTTATCTTCAGAGTTACCTTAAAATGAGATTGTAGATGAGGCCAAAACAGACCCATAGTCCAATATAGCCAGTGTGTCCAGAAACGAGAGGACTTTCAAGTCTGGATTTGGGTTTCTGTGCTTATAGAGCAAGGCTTCTGAAGAAAACTAAGCCATTCTGGATCTCCAGAATGACAGAAGGCTCTGGGATCCACTGATTATACTGGTAAAGTCTAGTCTAAGGTTCAGTAATAAACAGACCTCAGAAGGTAGGAAGTGGCTCGGGTATGGAGCCTCTCCACCTCGGACGTGTAGCTAGCTGCCCAAAGACAGGAGGGTCCAGGCCAAGCAGCATTGAAGGAAGAGAAGAAATGCAGAGGCCATGAGAGTGTGTCAAATTTACAAAATACTAACCACACTTGTTTTTTTACTAACTTGGGTTGCTTTAAAAACTCATCAGATGCCAAACTCCTCACTCTGGGGCCAGCTGGGGGACTGTGTCCCTGATGGAACACAAGGTCTGAGTCCCTTCCAGCTGAGGACTTGCTCATATGTGAGCTGGGGTTGCTTGGGAGCATGTACATGATCTCCTTGGCAGTCTTAAGAGAGGGTGAAGCACCTCTTTCTCTGTGGATGAGTTTGTGAGTGACTTCCAGACCTCCATCTTGGATAGGCCTGCCCAATAGGGGAGGGGTACCTAACGGTAGTCCCTCCTGTGTGTTCTTGCTTTTCAAGCCACAGCAGAGGTAGAGGCAGAGTCTGGTGTCAGCAGCTAATCTCACTTGCCAGGGCTCTAGAGATAAGTGTGCTTTCCTGCTCTTGACAACCTGCAAATACAGCAAGTATCTCCAGGGGCCCCAGAGCAATTAATTGCCCCTTTGCCCTCTGGGAACAAGACCTTTGGGTGGCCCAAAGAAAGCTGTGAATTCCTTAGCTGAGTGGACAGTATGCTTATTTCCTAGAAATAAGAGGAGTGTAAGAAACCTGCAGTGGCCTTATTTTGGGGTCTCTGAGTACTGGATAGAGGGGGAAAGGGGATCCTTAAATACTTCTGACTCAGAGGCTCAGCCTGCCATAGTGATGTCTGCCCTCACAGTTCACCAGAAGAGGGAGTTTCAGGCTCACAGATCCCCTAAAAGAGGTGGCTGGAATTTTCCCTTTCCTCCTCAAGGCTCTGTGCTGGAAATGGGGGATGAAGAGAGCTCCGTCCATTCCTCAGACGAGGGCAGTGGAGTGTATCCTGCCATCTTGTCCTCTCTCTCCAGAGCCCTTGTATTCACCTGCAGAGGAAATCCATGTGAAGAAGCTTTGGTAGAGTCCTGTCAGGGCTTCCTGTCTATCTGCCCATATGGTATCAGGGTAGAGACTCCATGCCTGGTGGCATTGGATGAGGGTTGAGAGGCTGGAAGGCTTCCGGCAGAAAGGAAACTTCCTCCATCTTTGCCCAGTAGCATCCCACACTTACCCTAGGAGTGTCTCTTTGTGTCCAGCCAGAATACCCTGGACTGAAGACCAGCAAACTCTCATTCATGGTTGACTTCCAAACCCGAGGGCTTTGAGAGCTCTTCTGTTGAGAAGGGAAGCTGGGGACTGGGATAGCCAGGTCGCCCAGGCCAGCACAAGTCAATAAGAGTGGGACAAACACGCTTTTCAGCTTCTCAGCTGATGGGAGGGACTCCCTGTCTAGGGATGGGGGTGGGGCGCCAGTCTATTCTGTTCTTGGGGAGGAGAATCCAGAACCCTTGCCAAGCTTCTGCATAGGGGAAGTTTGTGTAAACAGGCTCCTGGGCCACATGCACACATTCTGTCTGTGCACGCACGGAGTGTCAGTGTCCCATGTGTGCGAAGCTGAGGCTGTGAACCTGGCTGGTGCTGGCTGCAGCAGGACACTGTGGAGAGCCTAAGGCATCGGTAAAAAAGGGAAAGATTCATATGCTCTCTAGAGAGTCCAGAGTCCCCTGGAAGGCAACAGGAGCCCAGTGCGGACGCTGGGGACCTAGATGCCCTTGCTGAGCCAGAGCATCCGAGAACCTCACCGATGATGTGAGGGATGAGGGAGCTGAGGTGTCCTGGGATTCAGCTGATGTGACCGCGTCATTATGTAGTCCAGGCCTGCGCAGATGATAGCCGTTGTCTGCCCAGAATGTACAGGAACAAAATGTTGTCAGTTTTCGGTCTACCCACTTCTATTCCCGACACTCTACCTGTGGGTAATTCCCAAGCCTTCTTGTCCTGAAGGACCTGTCTCAGGGAATTAGGGGGTTGGCCACCCACAGCTTGTAGGTTCATTGAAAGAGCCCCTCATGAATTCTGTGCACATGCATTTATCCCTCACCGTAGCCTGGGACAAAATAGAAATCACCGCCCTTATGTTGCTGACATGACCTCTCTGCTCATCAGTAGTAGGAATGTTTCAATGGAAATTCACAACCCCAGCTTGCAACCTCAGCTCCAGGGGATCCAACACCCTTTTATGGCTTCTGAAGGTACCTGAACACACACACACATATATACACACACACACAGTGGGCAGAGGAATGAGAGAAAAAAAAATAAATATTAAAAAAAATTCCTAAAACACCTGGGCTTGGTGGCACATGCCTTTAATCCCAGCATTCAGTGAGGCAGAGGCAGGCAGATTGCTGTGAGTTCTAGGCCAGCTTGGCCTACAAAGCCATGGCTACACAAAGAA